ACGGCACAGGAAAAAATGGTCAAAAATAAAAAATATTTTGGATTTTTCTTAGTTTCATATATATCTATTCAAAAGAAAAAGTGCACCTCTGAACAATTTTTACAGGGCCGCCCTAAGGCAACTGTAGCATATTTTGTAATAATTGTGTTTTCCTGTTCATTTCGTCTTCCATTTTTTTCATCTCGTTGTCAAATCTAAAATTATAGAAAGATTGTTAAAAATATACAATTTACTGTGATCTAGTTTTTACATTTTCTTCATCGTAATTGTCGTCTTCAAATTTTGAATTTAAAGCAACAATTTTTTAGGATGTGAGTGGGAGAGGGAATTATTGTAATACTGCAGGTGCAACAAAACTTAAAAGCAGAATGGATTTTTTCTTGCTTTTTTATTTTTCAAATGTGCAGAAAGTTTTAATCAAAGAAATAAATAACGAAAAAAATCCGCAAAATTTTTTTCGCATTTATTAAGTTAAGAAAGTTAATTATGATCTGGATCCGAAGTTTGATCAGAAAAACTTCAAAAATAAAGATAAAACTTAAATTCGATATTCAAGGAAAAATGGCGGGAAACAAGAGAAGGAAAAAATAAACAACAAACAAATGTATTATTTTAAAGGACGCAGTATCGTAATTTTTTGGCTTGTATTTGTGTTATAAACGAAAAAATGTTGATTTAAACGTTTTTGTAGAGCTTTAAAAATAATTGTAAAATCCACGAGTGTACAAAAACAACATTAATAATCTTAAATTGTTACTATAAATAGGGGGGGGGGACACGCCTTGAAAGCCTAGTTAGATAATTATAGGATTTTATACTTCTTTTATACCTATCCTTAATACTGTTGAATTCTGAATCTAGAACAGAAAAATCTCCAATCCTCATTGGTACCCTTTGTTCTTCTCCAGACATTTTGAAACTATAATGATGAGTTCTGGATTAATTGAAACTTGTTTAATCCATTGCAGCTACCTTATCTGTTATCGCTGAGACTTAAAGGGAGAGACCGACTAGACATGATAGCTGAGCTGAAAGTGTAGTACTGTAAAGAAAACTTTAACATGATTTGTACACTTTGAACTCCCTTTCAGGCTGAAAGGGACTGACAAAATTCATACCGAAGGATTGTCTAAATTCCACTCTAATATATATTCTGTTCTCTTTGTGTATATCAGTCTAAGACGTAAAAAAAGGTTAATAAAAAACATAAATCTTGTTTCTAATCAAGTATTGCACTTTAGCTCTGGTTGAAAGCTACTTCCAAAATGTTATATAATAATATTAGCACAAAGCGAACCAAGCATAAATAGAACCGAGAACCAAGTATAAATAGAACCGAGAACCAAGCATAAATAAAACCGAGAACCAAGTATAAAAGAACCGAAAACCAAGCATAAATAGAACCGAGAACCAAGTATAAATAGAACCGAGAACCAAGTATAAATAGAACCGAGAACCAAGTTTTAAATATCAGAATATCATCAATTTTCACTTAGCACGCAATTGCACCCCACTTAATTTAATTGATCACAAGATATAAATACAAACATTACCATAGAAAAAAAGACTATAAAAAACATCTTTCTGATTTCTAGACTAAAATGCCACTATAAAAAATCAATTTCTGACCTGCGGTTATTATGATTTCATGTGCTTATCTAACTCAAGGGAGTGACCGGCTAGATGGTATAGTTAAGCTGAGAGTGCAGTAGTATAGATTTTACGGTGTATAATTGTTCAGCAAGGGCGCAAATTTAAATCTTTAAAATCCTCGTGGGTTGTCCATTATGGAGGCCAGCCAGTCACTTCCTTTGAAGCTAGAAATGTTTGGCATTCTTTGTCACTTTTTAGTAAATGCTATTCTAAAGGTTTTTATTGATTCTTAAAGCTTAAGGAAGACATAATTATTTCAGAAGATTTTCTACACCGTACTTACTGTACAGTAAAGTCAACATGAACCAAAAATATGATTATAAATGTAAGATTGAAAATCATGAGTATTTTTAATTTTATGATATTAAGGAGTAAAAATTGACAAAGAAAGAGTTCTTTTGATATTGATCAGTAGTCATTCAATAAATAATAAATAAGGAAATAGTCCCTTTTATTCTTTTTCGGGCTTTAACGATAATCTAATAAACATATATTTTGCCATAGTTATAAAGGGATTGTAAATGTAGATTCAAGTTACCCTCCATTGATAGAGTATCATGTAGGATTTACAACGGTACCATTTAAAGATTTTTATGAACTGGATATCCATGTTTTGTTTTGAAAACTGGATTTTCATGTTAATGGTTTCTCTACTTAAGTACCGTTGTGAATCAGGCATTCCTCTCCTTTTTTTGATCGGGTCGATTAAAATTAAAGGACAATTCCTTCAACTGAATTAAATAAGATGACATGAACATTAAACAGTTAAGTTTTACATATTATGAACGTTTGATTCTTCAATACATATACTACTATGTATTTATATATTTGTATTTAACTATAAGAAAATATTGGAATCAAAGTCATGTAAAAACTTTCTGTCTTTCCGAGTTCCGACGAAAATTTAAATTTTGTTTTTGTTGAATTGTGTTTATACTTTACTACAAGGTAAACATGATGACACTATATCTATAATCTTGTGTTGTTGTAAGATCAGCTGATGGAATGTACTAGTGCCTAGTTTCTAGGTTAGGGCGGGACTGCGGACTGAGCATGATTGAGACTACGAGGAGGGTACTGGCACTGGGCTGGATACAGTTCACATCAAAATATTCTGACTCATCTTATCATTGATATGCAATAACGTCGGGAATAGAATGGGGGAAATGGTTTAAAGGGACCGTTCACTCACTAAATAGCTTGTTGCCTATTCATCCTTTTTTTCAAAGATAACTGTGGCCGGAGAAAAAGTTATCTTTGAAAAGTTAAGACTAACCAATTAATAGCTAATATGCTTTTAAATTATACCCTGAAATTACCCAGCAGAAAATATGAAGTATTTTGTAAAAAAAAAGAAATGTTTGAATATGTTGATTATTGATTGTTATTTACTTTTAATCCTATAAAATAACAATATATGCTCTTATATACTGTAAAAACTTTATTATATTTCCAATCAGATGCAATTACAGCAATATATCCACCTAATGGAAAAGAAATCCAATTCAACGAGTTCTCACCGAGTGTATTCAATAAGTCGACTTCTGCGGTTAATTTCAACAGATTGAAAACCATTTAGCATTTTTATTTCACGGGCAACGCCGGACACTCCAGCTAGTAAATAATAAATAGATACATTGACTGTTAATATAGTTTAGATTTATTATTTTTCAACCATCATACCATTTAGCTTACATAGACGTACAGTACTGTACAATACAATACAGTACAGTACAGTACAGTACAGTACAGTACAGTACAAATGCAGTATACAAATATACATTCATTTTCACAATTCACCTCAAAACTATTATTTCAGATTCTGATTGTTTATTGTTAGATAATTCACAGTTATATGTTTTTTTTTCGTCAAATCGTTCTCAACAAATTTAATTTAGTTTAGCTCTTTGTTACTGATATGGCACAACATTGGAATTATGGTTTTTTTTACAATAACATCATTTCATTTAGTTTTACACATTTAATAGGTTATCATGAAAATTTAGTGAACATACTTTTCATATTGAAATAAAAAAATTTTAAGTCTTTTGAATTTTTTAGTGTTTATGCTAAGTTAATTTTTCAAATACATGAATTTGTAAAGCACAGATGAAAAATAAAATTATTTTCCAGGACTAGAATCAAAATTTATGAAGATGCAATCTAGGGTTCAGAATTCCATTTAAAAAAAAAATATTAAAAAACGAAAACGCTGTAAAAATGAATCCATGGTAAAAATGGCAACCGAACTTTCGTGATGAAATCTGGTAATTAGTACGAAATAAACAAAAAAGAAAAATTAACAAGAAGAAAGGAAAACCAGAAATAAAACGCATCATTAAGTTTAAAATATTTTTATGGATCATGACGGGTTTTGAAATTTTTTGTTTCGTGAGATTCACTTAGAAACTATAAATCGCAATATTCACTTAGAAAAAGGAATTATTAAATTGTTTATAAAAATTAATGGGAAGGGGGGGAGGGCATAATCAATGTTATTATCACATCAGGACGGATGACACAAATAAAGAGGGAAAAGTTGTTAAAGAAGGGCATCATCAAATAAGAAATACACTACACTAGTGTTCTAAAGTACGATATAAGCATTGTCATATGTACATTGTACAATGTATATATGTACAATGTACAATCTACAATGTACATTGTACATATGTACATATGTACAATGTACATGGTTTTCTGCAAAATAAAGTTTAAGCTGGACCTTTAAAGTGTACCAATAATTTAGAATGTTTAGCAAGCCATGGAAATTGATTAAATCTAATTTGTTAATTTCTTTGAAATGTTAATTTATGTTAAAATTTTACAGACTTCCTGCCACTTTTGGGAGCGTTTTTTTTGTGTGGAGAGATGTACATTTTTCAGAATTAACAAAAAAATACTTTTGATTAGACGGAATAATTGAAAAATTGGATATCAAGCAGCAAGATTTTTGATACTTTTTACCCGACCACAAATTTATTTATTTCCCCAATTCAGAGAATGGAACCCCAAAAAATGTGCAAGTATATAAAACTTATGGGGGAAAACGGTTTTCTTAAGGGGGAAATTAATTTTGGAGAAAATGCAGGGTGAGTCAAAAAAAAAGGGTGAATAGCGAGATCTTGCATATAACAAAGGATTTTATATGGTAATCTCATTTTTGACAAATATGTATGATATTTTCTAATTTGATCTTTTCATAGAAAATTTGATAGACCCTTTAAAAAATCCGCGAAACTATATTTTACTCAGAAAATCCGCAATAAACATATTTTAATGATTTACTTTATTATGTATAATTTCCTATTATTCCAATTTCGACATTCTTCTCAAAAATTCATTAAAAAAAAGAAATTTGAAAAGATAAAAAAATCATCAATATGGTTTTACTCAAAAATGAATTGCGGATTTTCTTAATTCAATTTCTCGCATTTTCTCCGAAACTGCTCATCTGATCTGTTCAAGATTTTAAGATCTGATAGAAATAATATATTTCCAATCTTTTGTTTTTCTAAACATCTAATTTTGATTAAAAAATTCAAAAATTTTATACATTTTTGTCAAAAATTAGATTACCAAAAAAATGATTTATTATGTGCAAAATTTCGCTATTTATCCTTGTTTTGACTCACCCTGTATACACCCCTTGTTTTGTGTCAATTTTCCATGTGTTGAAGCAGCATTCAATATCACACATCTACAGTTCTAAAGATTCTCTCTCTAATACTGCAAGGGCAAATAGATCCCAATAGACGACATCTTATTTTCAAAAACTTGTGTGTTCTTGACAGCTCATTGCACAATTTGCGCATAATTGTGTGCTAGATAATTCACAATATATTCTTGATTAATTGATTTTAGTAAGTCTGCTGAATGCTGTTGTAAAAACAAACATCCAATACAAGAATGAAAAACACCAGATTTCTAAATAAAATTGGCAGATAATAAAAGGATAGAGATTAGAGAATACAATTGACTTAGTTTAGCCCATTTAGCTGATTAATAAAGGAAACAAAATTTAACTAATTTAGTGAACAGCTGATTAATAAAACTTTCGACTGATTAAGTGTGGAATAAAGATCTTATTAAAGAATAGAACAATCTAGTTTCTTTCTTTTCTTTTGGCCAGATTCTGCTTCTAGAGCTGCTCTTTCAATAGCCTGGAACCTGAAATAAGATTTTCTTATAATCTCCAGAAAATTTAAACAGTGTTCAACCACAACTTTTAGCAATTTTGTAAGTCATAGGACGTTGATTTTTTGCATGTGAACTCAAAAATATGTATTGTAACTGCAAAATTCAATTTTAAAAAGATCCAAGCAAAAAAGAGCGCGTGCGCATTTGTTTTCAATTGAAAATTCAGTACAAAAGTAGCATGCGATACATCAAACTACAGAGTACAGAGATGAGATTTTAAAAGCTTAAACCCAATTAAAACCCGTCTGCTTAGACCCAAGTAAAGATCAAGTTAAGACCCGGGTTTCGGATGGCCTTGAGTTTAGTAAAAAACAACCATCTTGGGTTTTTCTCTCTTTATAGCTCGAGTCTTCAGCAGCTGATGATCGTGAATTTCGTAAAATCTTTTATATTTGTACATTTAAAATCTCGGGAATTATTTGTGGTGTCAAATTTTATTTTACATACAAAATAACATACTATGAAAATAATCTACACAAAGTTTGAATTTTTGAAATTTACATCTCATTGTTACAGCTGATCTGACGGCATTCTGTCTGCTACAGAGAGAAAGCTTGCAAAACAGTCTCTCATTGGTCAGATCAGAACCAATCCTGACTTGGGTTCTATCTAAGCCCGAGTAAGGGTTTTACTCGGATTTAAGCTTTTAAAATCTCATCTCTAGTAAATGGGGACGAGGAATTAATTTCTGAGTTCAAAATACACATTGCTTGGATCTTTTCAAAACAAACTTGACAAAAAAAAACATTCTTCTTAGAACACTGAATTCAGACTCGCGACTCAAATTTAAAAAACTTATTTATGATAAGAACTCTGATTTTAAAAATTACCTCCTGACTAGTTTTACGAGTTCAAAGAAAGCTTGATCAATATTCATCCTGAAATTAATTAAATCTTTGTTTTTTTTTACATTACTTTAATTATTATAAATCCTATCAATACTATTATTATACAGTGGTAGGCAATTACATCAATAAAATGAAGACGACTTTCGATTTCAATTTTGATTTATAACAGCAAAGATAAACGTAAATATAGAAGTCAAGAAAAGCTATTAATTAAAAATGCCTTTCTTTCATTACTTATAAACTTGTAATTCGAGAAAGGCTTGTTAACAATCAAAACTTAAATAGAGAAATTTTTATTTTGAATAATCATTTTTGTTTGTTTATCTTCTTGTGATTTTTAACATTTTTTTTTATCGATTTTGATGGTTATTATATCGTTAGAACTGACGAGGGTCAACCCAGACCGAAATATATTTTCAATAAATGTGGAACTAACATCTACTTTTTTACTCTACAGAGGTTTGGTCCATCACAATCACCGAATTTTAAGAGAAATCGTCTTCATTGTATTAATATAATCGACTACCTCTGTACCTGAGTTTTGCTGAGCATTCTATATAAGGAGTTTTCAGCTGTTTGGCCATTGTTTCGCACTCTGCTTGGCTTATCTATAAAAAAGATTTTATTGAATATGAAATCAACAAACTTTGTATCCTCTTAATTAGTAGTCAAGGAAATGTATATTAATCATAAAGATCTGCTTTGTTCCCTACTATCAACATAGGAAACTAACCTGTCTGTTTGAGAGATCTGCTTTGTTCCCTACTATCAACATGGGAAACTCGTCTCTATCCTTTACTCGTAGAACCTGGTCATAAAAATATCTGTTATTTAAAAAATGAAGTATAAAAACAAGCCACGACTGATTTAACTATTTCTCGTTGTTCAGAACAAATGTCTTACTAGAGTATCTATATTTAAAAAATAATCTCTGTTTGTTTCTTTCTTTCTTTCTTTTTATATCTAATATTCTATTGAAATGGTTTAAAAACAAATAATTGGGTATGGTGAATTGTCATGGGGAAGTGAACTGCAGATGAAGGACGGGTCTCTTCTTCGCTCAGAGCTAAAAACTTTAGAATGGAATATCCTTAATCCCGATCGGTTAGTTAATCTGGAGATTAATTACAAGAGAAGAACAAGCATTATTAAATCTCGAGATTAAGAAAAAGAGCGGATCAAGCATTGATCTCGATATTCACCAATCTAAAGTTTTCAGCTCATATCTTCTATTTATTTAAATTCCATAAACACAAGTCACAGAATTCAAAATTATGATTATGAATCACCTGTTTGTGGAATTTGTAAATTTCTTCAAAACTATTTCGGTCAGTGAGAGAGAACACCAATAGGAACCCTTCACCTGCGTTAAAGTCGTTTAATGATAATAATGATAATAATATTAACAATGATAATGATAAAATTATGACCATAATGATATAAATAATAGTATTAATAATATTAATGACTAGCTGAAAGGCCCGCCGTTGCCCGTGGGAAAACAAATTTAGAAAAAAAATTATTTTCGAATTTTTTTAGTCTATAACACCCTCCCACCACCCACAAGTGTTCACAAAAAATGTTAGCCCAATCGGTCCAGTCGTTTGGCCAGATATACGCAAAATATATATATATATATACGAATGTATTGTTTTATTATATAGAAGATAATAATAATATTAATGATGATAATTCTACTACAACATGATGTACTGTGTAGAACAAGCTGACCTGATCTCATATACTGTTCCCGCATGGCACTAAACTCCTCCTGTCCGGCTGTGTCCAAAACTACATTAAAAATATTTGAATTATTTGTTTTGATTGCTTTCATTTAAAGACACTGTAAAGGAAAAATGAAAGGGGGCTGAAAGCTAATCACTTAAGCTCTTGATCGCAACCCATAAAAGTTATATCTGATGTTCCTTTCTCGAGAAATTGATATAAAACTGTGTCAAATTTATATGAATTCATGTGTGCATGCAATTTTATATAGAAATAGTAGGGTTTAAGTTAAACAGATCATATTCACCAAATCGAAACCAATCTGAAAACGAAGATATCCAAGAGAAACCTAATTGTAACTTAGGTTTTCTCCAACTATAATTTTATAATTTTTATTTTTATTTTCAATAGATATAATTGATGATATTATTTATAAGTCCGTATTACTTATAAATAATATTATCAATTATATCTATTACAATTTGTTAAACAATTAGGTTTCTCTGGGATATCTTCATTTTCAGATTGGTTTCGTATTTGCTGAATATGATCTGTTTAAACCTACTGCATCTATACAAAATTTCACTGTGATCTGAAGATAACACTGAAACCAAATAACGCAATTGTATTGCAATTTTTCAGCCATCTTTAATAGTTTCCATAAAGGAATTGAGTTTTTGCCACAAACTCAAATCTTCTGATCCCAATATCTTTGCAATCTGATGGTGCAAACCTTTGATATTTCAAACTTAGATTATTTTGTCTATAGGTATTAATAGTTTGAAATATCTAAGGTCTGCGACATTGGGTTACAAAGATATAGAGATTAGAAAATCAGAGTTTGTGGCAAAAACTTTGTGGGGGTTTTTCCTTGCGTGTTGTCTGTAATATATACTAATGTCCATTTTATATATATTATCAGAAAAAAAATTTTTCTTTTAATTTTGTAATTAGGAAAGGAAGCCAACTATAAGGCATATCAGCCTATGATCGGTCTTAACCCTGAAATATGTTTATGTGCAGACAAGATTGATCGATACTTTCTGTCAAACAAACAGTCAAAATGAACTAAATTTGAAAAAATTTCGCGAATTTTAAAATTTTCTGTTGGACTTTTAACAAAATAAAATATTTAATGCTTTTGAAAAATGTATGGCAACTTGTTTAAAACGAGTTTTTTATTCAGTTTTTTTATTTACATATACAAGGTTTTAAGTTTATACAATTGGTGTCCCCTAAGCATGACAGTTAATAGATCGAACACTTGATTTCTTGATATCTATAGTTATGACAAAAAGAAAATTAGGTTTTTGCCACAAACTTTGATTTTCTTATCCCCGAATCTTTGCAACCGAATATCGGAGACCTTTGATATTTCAAATTATACAAATTCTGTTAATAATTAGTATTTTAGATATCAAAGTTTAACACCATCATGTTGCAAAGATAAAGGTATTAGAACTATTAGTTTGTGCTAATAACTCCATTCCTTTGCATCAAACAAGTTAAAGGAGCTTTTTTTATAATTGAAAGTTTACAGCTTTTAAGCCGTGCAACATATTTTTGATCCAAACTTTGTGCGTCTTTCGACTGTTCACACACTTGTTCACGTTGTGTATAATTCATTGATTGATTTGAGTTTAAAGAAGCCAAAATAATTAAGCCTTTGCCACAAACTAATCCCTAAATCTTTGCAACATGATGGCGTAAACCTTTGATATTTCAAACTTTGAAATATCTAAGATCTACTACATTGGGTTGCAAAGCTAAAGGGATAAGAAAATCAAAAACTGAATTCCTTTTTAATAAAAATATAAATAAAAAAATTCTTTTTACTGAATACTTACTGTCTAGCTTCGCAACTTTATCGTCGACAATACATTGTTTAGTGTAGGAGTCCTCAATTGTAGGATCGTAATCAGTTACAAAATAACTCTGAAATTATACAAAATAACTCTGAAATTATACAAAATAACTCTAAAAGTATACAAAATAACTCTAAATTATACAAAATACACTGAAATTATACAAAATAACTCTAATATTATACAAATAAATATGAAATTATACAAAAAATTTAACAAATAAATTTATGGGTTCAGTCAGTTGGCATAAAAGTATAGTCTGTTAACAACATGATAAAGGAATTGAGTCCTATACCACAAACTCAAATGTTCAAATCCCTAAATCTTTGGAACCTGATGTTTAAACCCTTTGATATTTCAAACTTAGATTATTTGCTCTAAAAGAAATCACTGTTAGAAATGCATGTCTATAACGGTCTTCGACATTGGATTGCAAATTTATGGGAATTAGAAAATCAGAGTTTGTGGCAAATTTTAATTCATTTAATATATCTTAACCCCATTATTATTTTGATAATCTTTTATCAGGCTGCATCACTCATAAAGTTGAATAAATTTTACCTATTTTTACATCTCCGTTGATACATTGTATTTGTATAACAATAACCATGATGATAAATTTTTCTTATTATTTTTTAAATCCTGAGTTATTTGAATTTCCATTTTCCTTATAAATAAGTACTTTTCTCTTTTTCTCTCTTTCCTCTAACTTATGACTTTTGAGACTTTTATGTGCACATATATATTTATATAAAAATATAATATGTATATAATAATAATATAATATATATATATATATATACCCTTACCTGTATGAATTGTATTGTGCAGGCTGATTTGCCTACTCCTCCTGGTCCAACTACTACTAGTTTATACATAGAGGACACATGCCCCTTGTCAGTTTTAGACATTTTTACGAATAAATGTCCCTATTTTTAAACTCTGCTTTCAATAGTTCTGAAAATAAAATAAATTGATTAAAACGTATAAATGTACATACACATTACATATATACGAAAGATATGCACTGTGCATGCACAATGTTGACCCGGTCAACTTGGTTAAATGCATTATACCAACCCAAATTTATACCAATTGGCATAGTCAAAATAAATTTTTCAACAGAAAGTGAGTATTTCGTTATACATAATTTATTTGCTAAAATAGTTGATAGTTGATTAAATTATATAGATAGAAGTGGAAGCAACAACAAAGGAGTAATACAGGATTAAATCCGTCAAGGGCGTCATGTCAACAGTAAACGGGGAAAAAGTGTAAAATATGTTAGGTTTTAGGTGTTACATAATATTTTTGTAAGCTATATGCTTAAAATTACATGTAGACAGAATTTTTCGCGACAGCTAAACGTTTTTAATTAATTTCTTCAATAATTACGCAAAGTGCAAAAACATCTTCTTTGTTTTTCTAGTGTCCTATTCTCCTCATTTTCATGGTGTATATTTAATGTATTTCTTGATGTCTGTTGTAATCATATTTGCACTATATGTACATATTTATTTATACTTTACAGTCTACGGCAGTTTTTTTGTGATTCAGCCACTAGCACTTTTTTTTCTCTATCAGGTTCCAATTGGTTGTAGGACTGTGAAGTGTGTAATCCTATGCAGTCCTAAGCAGTGCTGCAGTAAGTATGGTTCCTAGAAGAACTTTGTGACTTATCTTTTGTCTCCAGGAACCATACCATATATATATATATATATGTAAATTTTGATTTTTGATTTAATAATAAATTAATCATATATGTATAATATGTTTAACCACATACATATATATATATATATGCAAATTTTAATTTTTGATTTAACAATAAATTGATTATATTGTGTAATATGTTTAACCATATTTATATATATATATGTAAATTTTGTTTTTGATTTAATAATAAATTGATTATATTGTATAATATGTTTAACCATGTTCATTGGTTGAAGAGGAGCAATCCGAAACAATTTGTATCAATAAATGTGAAGAATGAGAAAAATGTGAACAACCGAGGAGCAGAAGCTGCTCTGATTATTGTGATCTTTGTAGTTATCTTGCATCTCAGAGTTGAAAACAAGGAAATAGTAGGATATTTTGTTAGAAAATAAGCGCGAAGCACCAAATAAAAATGTTATTATGTTTTTTCTGTAGTTGGCAAAATTTATAGAAGATTGTCCACAATACGAAACATGACAGCTAGTCGAGGTCCGGGGGGGGGGGGGGGGTCGAAATATCTGAGGGGGGGGGGTCGAGATCAGGCCCCCCCCCTTATTTGCACCAATCTTTTGCAATTTGTCAATTTCTACTATTTTGAAATTTTCTTAAAAATAAATTACATATTGTCGTGCACATCTGAGTTTAATAGCCAGCACAATACGCGAATATATACGAATTGATCCCGAAACTGCCACGAAAATTCCTTAAAACACATATCAATATAACTTTACGTAGGAAGGGCTTGAGCACCATTTCTATGACTCATCGTTAAAGTAACTGCCTATTCCTAGAGAGGGTATGCCCACAACTACTTTTAGTTCTCTAGACTCTACTCTAGTAACTAGACTAGAGAGAGAAGGTCAAAGTAGTAGTAGTATAGATGTCTCTAGTATAAGTTTCCTCTGAAACTGAGAGACATCTAGTGGTATAATTTGAGATTATAAATAGGAAAGCTAGTAAACATTGATTTGTTTATCGATCAGCTGTTCGGAGGAACCAAGCGGCTCAGAGCTCTCAGCTTATGGACCAGCCTGTATTATGATATTATCTGAAAAGGAGCTCACCCTTGATGCTCATTGAAATAAACGTTAATCAATTAACAAATTAATCAACACAGAAAAAACCTCAGCGTTACAGAGGGAGAGCTTGTTTAGTGTCCATAGGGTAACCGTGAATGTGATATGTATTTTTTTACAACTTCAGTAATATCTTGAAGTATACTGTCGACATAAAAAATATTTCATGGGGTGTCAAGCACACCAAGCTCGTATAACGGGAATTATTGTCATAACAGAAATTGAGTTTTTTCACAAACTCGAATTAATTCTAATCCCTATAATCTGTTTGAAAAGATTTAGAGATCATAAAATCAGAGTTTGTGGCGAGAACTCAATTCTTTTGTCCGTTACAATACGTCTTATAATAACTTAATCATTTTCAGGCATTTCTCTTACATGACAAATACTTTTCACACACAACTCTTTAGTGGTGCCAATGGTACAACCACAGATCGTAGAGACATGTTAGCTAAAATTTCAAATGACCGTTCATCCAAAGTTAACAATGCCCGGCTCACGGTACCCTTGAAAGCTTTATCTGATAAATAATTAGGAAGATTTTGTCGTTATATTTAGCTTGAAAATGTTTAATTATGCTGTATGTTTTCTTTAGTAGAAATGCGCAAGTCACTTCTGTATTGAACTCACAATTGAAAAAAATAATTTTTCAAAATTATAATCATTACTTGATCAAAACAAACCTGTAAAAAGGTACCGGCGTCAATCGTAAATTGAAATATTTTCATGGAGTGTCAATTGAAATCATTCGTACAACGTTCCTTTAGGACCATCAGATTATATTTAATAGCACATTTCAGGATAAAATGGAGGCGAGAGTTAAATTCAGTTTGCAACGCCTTGTGCAGGCCACACATCCTAGCTTTGATATAAGGTACAGATTTAGGATTCTAAAATTCTCAGTGTTCAGGGGTGTATACTGCATACATAGAGGACCTAAAGGACTAGGTAAACCTGGAGAGTGTTTTAGAGGACCTAGAGGACATTTCATTATCATAGATAACAAGACATTTCATAGATAAGCTATTTCACAGACAAGATATTTATAGATAGGACATTTTATAGAGAGCCATTTTATAGATAAGCCATTTCACAGACAAAACATTTTATAGATAGGACATTTTAAAGATAAGCCATTTTATAGAGAAGACATTTTATAGATAGGACATTTTAAAGATAAGCCATTTCATAGACAGGGCATTTCATAGATAGGACATTTCATAGAGAGGACATTTTATAGATAAGACATTTTATAGATAAACCATTTCATAGACAGGACATTTCATAGACAGAGAAGAATTTCCATAGATGGTAATTTTCAATGAGGCAAAAGCATTTTTTTTCAGAGACAATTTAAGTTTTGGGGTTCATAAAAATGTGTCACAATTTTGGAAAATGTGATCAGTTTGAGATACATATATTTTTTTATAAAATTCATATCAATATATTGTTTTGATGACAAGATATCAACAAGATATAAGTTATCAGTTTAAAGCGAAAACAGGAAAATGTGTTAAGTAAAAATGACAGAGATCGTAGAAATAACAGGGTATCATTTGTTGATTAAGTTACTTCGAAGAAGAAAAATATAAAAATATTCTCTGCTAATGAAATGTCATATATATGAAATTTCCTGTCTATGATTTGTCCTAATTATGAAATGTCTTTATATGAAATGTCTCTTATTAAATGTCTTTTATGAAATGCCTTTCTATAAAACGTCTGTTTTTAAAATGTCTTCATATGAAATTTCTTCCTTTCAAATGTCTTTTCATCAAATGTTCCAACACCGATAATTGAAACTCTTAACGACTGGACTTATCGTCAATTTGATATAGACGCTTCTTTTTAGGTTTTTGAAAAGAATACTGAAGAGCGTTGAAAAAAATACTTTAAAACGATATAAAATTTATAGTTTTGGCGTTTTACGAATGATATTTAATTTTTTTTATAGACTAAAAATATGAATGAATTTTTAAGAAAAAAGAGATTGTGTAAACTGATTTTGAAGGATGAAATAAGAATTATATTCTCCTAGGATTGTGTCGAAGAATTTGATTATGAAGGATTCCACGAGATGCTGATTGCATACCTTCCACAAGCGGAGAATATTAAGGTGAAAATAAAAGAAATGAAATTGAAAGAGAACAAGATTTTTTGTTGTTATAAAAACCTACCCCTATAGTTCTGAAACAGGCCACAAATGTTTCTCAAAGTTAGTAATCATTAATATAGCTCTATAGTTTATTTGTGGTCTCTGGCCTGGTCCCAGTGGGACCCCCACATAGCGTTTTTTGGATAACTCATAAATTATTGGTCTGAAGATGTCAATTTTGTTTTACTTTTCTACGTAACACAATCCCTTCACTTCAGGCTGAAAGCTGGGCTTGAATACCTGATTCCTCAGATATGCTAAATCTTTATTTAGACAACTTTAAGTAATTGGATTTCAACATTATATAGCTCTCAAGAAAGCCTTTGATAAAAGGAAGCAGATTGCACAAATTTAGCAAAAATATTTTGCATTTACTATAAGACCGGCGTCTTTAAATTCAATTTTCCGAATTCCGTTTTTACCGCGGCTTGAATTTAAACCGCCGCTCAAATTCTTTAAATTCGGCCACTGGACTCTTAAAAATGTATATTGTATAAATAAATATAATTTATAATTTTTTGGCGTATTGCAAAACTTGCAATTTCCGTCTCACAACGGTACCCTTTATAGCTTTTTTTCAACAGAGATTCCCCCAGGAAAACAAAAAGGTATAAACCTAGAAAAACGACAACATCTTCCTTATTATTAATCTGTTAAAGGTTTCAAGCTTTACATTTTTGAGTCGGGCATTGTCATTATTGCGTGGCGGATCACTTAAGATTATGCTTACATTCCCTTTAATACCTAGAATTTGCATTAAATATTTGGATTTTTGCACACACACACACACCGCCCCCCCCCCTGCCCCTCTGGAGTTAATCCATAGCATTTCAAACATTTCAGCCCTTGGACTCTACTTCAATAATCTGAACATATTGCCTAGGAACTGAGTTTTTGCCTCAAACTCAAATTTTTATCTTTGCAACGTGATGGTGTTAATTCTTGATATTTCAAAATTTACAGTATTTAAATAGAGCCTAAGATTTTTTTTGAAATGCTATGGATTAACTTATAAGAAATCTGGGGNAGTTGGAATACCGTTAAGTGCATTAGTAGTTTGTTGGGAGAGGTTTTTTGGGGTTTTATTAAATGGGTGTTTCCCGTGAAATTAACAAAAAAAGTTTCGATTTAAAAAAAAATGCTGAATATTGAAGAAAAATAATTCAACTTTTTTGCATGTTACCCCAGGGTTCCCACAAAAAAACATATGAGCAAGAGCTTTATTATACAGATTTATTTTATGAGTTTAACTTCATATATATTATATACTTCTTTTAGGAAAAGGATATGATGGATGAAATGAAGAAGTTAGTTCAACATCTTCTTCAAGAGAGAAATAGTCAGGTAAACATCCTGAAATCAGAAGAGCCCCATGAAATTACCTCAGAGCCGCAGAATTGGTGGAATGACATCCAAGCTTCTCAATATGTCTTAAAGCCCCACATGTGACATTGTTGATTATTGCTTTTTATTTGATAAGAATGTTATGGATTTTATCTAAAGTGTTGATAAAGTAAACATCCTGCCATCCTCCATTTGCATAACTGGGATTTTACTAACAGTTTGATGTTATCTAGTAGCAAAGTGGTTAAAGGGACTGTAAGCGTAGTTTCAAGTAACCCTCTAAAAAGGGCAATGATCGATTTACAACGGTATCATTAACACCTCCTGTCCTTGGTGTGTTCGTCTAGTACAGAGATGTGTGTAGCAAATATCTGGATATATTACGTTGTCTGTAAATCTAAATGCGCTTGTAAATAGCTAGGTAAAACTTGTATTGCGATTAACCTAACCTAGCTAGGTCTTGAGATAAATGCGTCAAGCCTGTATTGTAATAAGCTTAAAGAAATAACTACGTAACAGGATTAGCTTAATTACGTTGTGTATATATATATATCGACGTAAAACTTGTAATTACGTCGATTAACTCTAACTTGTAACATAGAACCCCAAATACATTTAGTTGAAACAGACTCTTGAACGATTACCAAGCAAGAGTAATTGTTCCCCGATTAGCGAACGAGAGATCTTGTCCAAGTTGAGGCATTGATGGTTTATGATATCATGTCCAAGTTGAGGCATTGATAGTTTATGAGATCGTGTCCAAGTTGAGGCATTGATAGTTTATAAAATCGTGTCCAAGTTGAGGCATTGATAGTTTATAAGATCGTGTCCAAGTTGAGGCATTGATAGTTTATAAGATCGTGTCCAAGTTGAGGCATTGATAGTTTATGAGATCGTGTCCAAGTTAAGGCATTGATAGTTTATAAGATCGTGTCCAATTTGAGGCATTGATGCTTCATAGGTCAGAGATAGTGGCCGAGTTGAAACATTGGTAGTTCCTGGTAAAGATAGATCGTGTTCGGTTTGACATTGATAGTAAAGTGAGATTGAATTGTACCTGGATTGATACGGGTTAGAGAAACCCTTATGGAGTATGACATTTACTACATGCTTGGCGTAGCTCGTAGAATTTAGTAAGACTTGAGAATAAATTTCAAATGTTGTAGAAAAAAATTCAAATTTTGAAACCCGAAATATTATTCAGCTGCAAATTCCACTGTGCACTGTGTTGAGTTCGTTGTGTACGTAGTCCTCCCTGCAAATTGAAGCTGAATACAAGCGGGGTTAGAAAAGTTGATAGAAAAAGACCTAATGCTAGAGAAAGAACCGAAGTATATCTGAGACTAGCACTGAGTCTGAGCGAGGGAATAAGAAGAAGGGGGGTAAGGTGGCTGATAATGCTGAGGTATAAAAAGATAAAAACTGCTATTCTATGTTTAATTTTTAACAGTGCTTAGGATCCGGAACCGTTGACTTCTTGGATCCGGATCTGAATCCAAGGGGCAAAATATCTATCAAAACTGTAAAAAAAAATTGGCTCTTTAAACCCAAATCTAAACAGTTGAAAAAATAGAGTATTTTAAATATCTTTTTCTCTGAATGATTCATTCATTTTTTTTATGCGAAAAAAATAAAGCAAAAAAAAGAAGATAACTAATTTGAAAATTTTGTTTAAAAAATCAGTAAATCTTAAAGTAATGTTCATGAAACCAAATATGCAGTACACAATTTATTATATAAAAAATTTGTTCATTTTGTTTTGAGATTTTTAAACTTTTGATTTTTTAAAATAAAATTATAAAATCTTGAGTTTCATTTGTCATATTTCTCTTATAGATTAATAAAAACACAGATAGAACACTAGATGTCGTCTTTTCAGGATTTAAGGGTTTTTTATTCACAAATAACTATTACGGAGTTACGCGCAGCATGCTTTCTCTCTCTATTTTGTAATCCAACGCGGCAAACCCGTAACTCCTTTGGTCCTTTACTTCAAGGTTATTGTGAACGAAAAACTCCTTAATTTTGAAAAAACGACATCTAGTGTTCTATCTGTATTGTTAAATAAACTATGGTATTAATGACACTTTTATATACACACTTTACGTTTATTTTCTAACAAGAAAGGGTTTAGAGCTGGAGGAGCGAGGTAAATATTGTTTGCTTACAGGCTGACCCGGAGATAGAGCTAGAACCTGGAGTAAATATTGTTTGTTTACAGGCTGACCCGGAGTTAGAGCTGGAACCTGGTGTAAATATTTTTTGTTTACAGGCTGACCCGGAGTTAGAGCTAGAACCTGGAGTAAATATTGTTTTTTTACAGGCTGACCCGGAGTTAGAGCTAGAACCTGGAGTAAATATTGTTTGTTTACAGGCTGACCCGGAGTTAGAGCTAACCTGGAGTAAATAATGTTTTTTTACAGGCTGACCGGGAGTTAGAGCTGGAACCTGGAGTAAATATAGTTTGCTTACAGGCTGACCCAGAGTTAGAGCTAGAACCTGGAGTAAATATTGTTTGTTTACAGGCTGACCCAGAGTTAGAGCTAGAACCTGGAGTAAACATGATTATGGAAATGTTCCCAAGTTGTTGCCAGGTATTAAAGGGACTATACATGTAATTGAATTGAGTTGTATTAAAGGGACTATACATGTAATTGAATTGAGTTGCATTACCAATTCAATAGGAAACCCTTTAAATATTCGTCTAAACAGCATTGACTTTGATATTCTAGTTTTTCTGTCTGAAAATTCATGCATGCAACTCCCTGATTGCAGGATCATTTGAATCACTTAAAGATTTTAACCATTTGGATTACTTGTTTTTAGAAAACCCTTCTAAGAAAAATATAAACAATTTCCCTAAAATAATCATAAAGTTTCTTCATGTCCTAACACCGGCTTAAACAATGATCTATTATAAAATGTACAAAGATCCCAAAATTTCTTAGAGAGAGCTGATTGGAAACCTTGTAATCTATTTTTAAACTTTATTGTTCATCGGAATTAAATTTCGTGACTTTTGAAATTCCAGGATACTCAACTCTTTAGTATCAATTTATGAAAAATTCACGATAAAAGAATACCATTTAAATAATTAACAGTAAAATAAGCATTATGCAGGATGCATCTACTTCCCTCAACTCTACATTTTCAACCCACAGTTAATGGTATTAGGTCTCCGAGGTCCCCACGAGAGTCTTAAAATTAACTCATTAACCAGAAAAATCTTATAACAATTAAAGGGACTGTAAAGGAAAAATGAAAGGGGGTATAGGCTGAAAGCTAATCACTTTAGCTCTCGATCGCGACCCATGAAAGTTATATCTAATGTTCCTATCTCGAGAAATTGATATACAACTTTGTTAAATTTATACGAAAATTAATATATATACAATTTTGTATAAAAGTAGTGGGTTTATATAGATCAAATTCAGCAAGTAAGCAACCAATACACATGGTAGGTAAACTGAGAGTGTAGTATTGTAAAGATTGTAAAGATTCATTTGAGACTGTAAGAAGTTTTAACGGTGTAAAATTGTTCAGCAAGAGCGCAAATTCGATCCTCTTTTATTGGTTCCCGCCTGCCCTGCAGGTGGTGGCGTGACCGACGTCTATATCTTTGCAACATGATGATGTAAATATTTGATAGTTTAAATCTTAGACTATTTATTTTGACAGGATTTTAAGTTTGAAATGACATTGGGTTGCAAAGATATAAGGATTTGAAAATCAGAGTTTCTGGCAAAACATTAATTCCTTTCCTGTAGGTTGAGGCGGTTCATTGTGTGAGTATGATGAACGGTGATCTAGAAAGAGCAGTACAACTTCTGATCACAAGAGCGGAACTAGGACAGGATATTAAACCAAACCAAACCCAGGTACACATAAAATAAAGTAGTTCAGCCCAGTTCAGGGCCCCCTACCTTATTCTCAGAATTGGAAAGAGGTCTATTCCTAAGCCTTTATTTCTTTTCTTAAATATCTTTTCAGCAGATTTTGATTTTATTGAAGTGGGACTGTAAGAGTGATTTTAAGTGACCCTCCCATGCAAAGAGGGCAATGTCCTATTTACAACGGTACCCTTTAAACCTTAAACTGTACGCAGTGTACAGTTTGACCTCAACAGAGCTGATGCGCTGCTTGTGTACATAGACATAACCGCATATTTTACATTAAAAGTTTTTCCGAAAAATTGATGTTTTAAAAAATTTTCTGCCAATTTTAGAAATAGAGCATTAGTATTTTCAAAAACTTAAAACAGCTTACAAACATAGTGTTCAACAATTAAATGCGTTTTTGTAAATTAATAAGAATAATTCCGACAACATTGATCAGTCGAAGGTTTTAAGGGTACCGTTGTGAATCGAGCATTGCCATCTTTGCATGGAGGATCACTTGAAATTACACAAACAGTCCCTTTAAAGACACATTTAAGACCGATTTTATGTCTCAAGGGGTGATCGGTCCACGCGTAATTCTCAAAAAATCCCCTTTACTGAAAATCTAATAATCTAACCTCTACTTGTCTATTCAAGCTGTTAGCTAAGCTGTCTAAGCCTGTTGAGATAGATGACAACCAACTAAAGAAGAGAATCATGAACGAATACGGATTTGTGGATAAAGAAACAGATCAGCGATACCATAGACCAACTATACCAAAGAAATTAGTAAGTTGATACCATAGACCTACTATACCAAAGCAATTAGTAAGTTGATACCATAGACCTACTTTACCAAAGAAATTAGTAAGTTGATACCACAGACCTACTATACCAAAGAAATTAGTAAGTTGATACCATAGACCAACTATACCAAAGAAATTAGTAAGTTGATACCATAGACCTACTTTACCAAAGAAATTAGTAAGTTGATACCATAGACCTACTATACCAAAGAATAAGAAATTAGTAAGTTGATACCATAGACCAGCTATAGCAAAGAAAATTAGTAAGTTGATACCATAGACCAACTATACCAAAGAAATTAGTAAGTTGATACCATAGACCAGCTATATCAAAGAAATTAGTAAGTTGATACCATAGACCTACTATACCAAAGAATAAGAAGTTAGTAAGTTGATACCATAGACCAGCTATAGCAAAGAAAATTATTAAGTTGATACCACAGACCTACTTTACCAAAGAAATTAGTAAGTTGATACCATAGACCAACTATATCAAAACAATTAGTAAGTTGATACCATAGACCTACTGTACCAAAGCAATTTGTAATTTTCAAAGAAGATGAAATAGTTTCCAAAGAAATTGAGTCCTTGCCACAAACTCTGACTCTGACAAACAAACTCGTAGATCTGATATATCAGAGCTTGATTTATCAAAAGTTTTCACCATTAGGTTGCAGAGATATAGGGATTGGAAAATTTTAGTTCGTGGCAAAGACTCAATTCCTTTAACACACTATTGTTCAAACCAGCATGATTTCCAATGCATAAACATATTGATGTGTGATTTTTCAATTTATATTATTAGTTTTGAAAATTTTAAATATGTATAGACAATATAATGTTAAAATATCTTTTATTGATTTTTTATTTAGTTTAATCAATTATATAATTAATAATATTGGTGCCTGATTTATGATTGATTTTTTTTTGTGTTTTTAACTCGAATTTGAATTTTTAAATAGCCCTTTGAATTTTCAATAGAAACTTTTTAAATTTAAACTGATTTCTCCTCAACATTTTTGTGGAATACAAGAATGAATTTTCTATTGTTGAAGTGGCATCTAAAGAATTTTGGTCTAAATATTATTCTAAGAAAATGTATTCATTTTGACTTGGGATAGGAAAATATTCACAATAATAGGTTGGTTTGAGCAAAGATAAAATCTCAGAGAAATTATAAATAACTTTTAACTTTTTTTTTAGTAGAGTTGCATGACCAATACACAACGGTACCTTTACCTTTTTACTTAGCATCCATGGAGGAAGATATCCAAAAGTCGGGTTTTAAAGGGAACCACAGTGTACGTTAATCAATTTTATGATAAAAAACAAGAATATCCTCGAAATTTTTACTAAGACATAGGTTTTAAGGATACCGGTGTAAATTGGGAAAGCACATCTTCAAATGAATGGTCACGTGACAGCATTCTCTTTTTCCTTTTATCGAGACTAACCTAATCTTGTACTTGTATCTGGAAAAGTGTATCAAATTCAACCAATCAGAGTCGGGTATACGGAGCCGATAAATTAAAAATTTTGCGCGCCATTTAAGATTATAAACAGAAACGAGAGGGACCAGGTTTTGATTTTTCTCTACTTTAGCCAAGAAAGAACGGTTTAAGAAGAAAATCAAAAGTGTGTCCATTGGATACTCAGATTACTCGAGATTAAGGATATCTCATTCTAAAGTTTTCAGCTCAGGTTATATTAAACACTCATCTGCGAATACAGAGGCTTGGAGGCCATTTTGCGGGGTTCATGGCTGTCCTGCACTCCCTCCCTCGTATCACTGTATGTGCTTTTTGTCTAGGAGGATAAGAAGCTGATTAGGTACAGGGAGGGGAAGATCGTGAGCACCAAGGGGGAGAGGTTCACCCAGGTCACCAAGGAGGAGAGCCTGGAGATTAAGAGAACAATCGTAAATATATTAGCCTGACAATTAATGTTTAGACCACGTGACAGGGGAAAATATATAATTTCACTGAGAAGGAAAAATATTAAAGAGAAAGATCTTTAGGCCAAGGCACATCATTTTTTACCAAGGGAGAAATTATATACTTTCCTTCATGTAAAAGTATCGTACATTTTTATTTTAGGAAAAAATTTTCGTTTAAAGAGGGTGTTCGCGAAAAATAAAAGACTAAACTCAGATAAAAGAAAAATTGATACCACTCGATTTTAAATTCAATTCGAATTTAGACAACAAACCCCCTTTCATTTTTAGCGAACACTCTCTTTAAAACCACAAAAGATTAAGTTACCCTAGAGTGTTGCATGAATATGTAGTGTACACTGTACAGCACGTAGATTAGATTAAATTACTCATTCTTTCTTTAATTACTTGAGACGTTAACTTTTACAAGAGTTAAGAAAAGATACTTTTAAAAAATTGTCAATAAAACAGTCTTAAATATTTTACTGGACGCTTATAAAAAATCTCAAAATAAGTTACATTAAGATTTAATGTTGTATCTCTACCGCACTAAAACTTTGTTTTGATTTTTGCCTAATATTTTATAAAAACAAATTTTAGAAAAATTTTAGAACTTAATATTACGTATTTGCATGCTACACCATTAAATAACCACATTTAAGTTACAAAGGATTTAATAACTGTTTGCAAACATAATTTCCAAAAAAAAAATTAAACATGACTAGAACCTCAAACCTCTGCTGCATCCAAATCTAACCAAATATTGTTTAAATTAGAATAATTAGAATTAAAATAGAAAACCAATATCTTAAACTTGACACTGTTCTTTACCATTATATTCTTTCGACTCACTCTAAAAAGCTACATAAAGTCTAAGTTAATTTAATAATTCTAGTGAAAATCTTGCTTTAAAATAACCAAAGAAACGATTGTTCCAAAAAATCAACTCCAGATGAAATTTTAATTTACACTTGGTTTATTTTACACATAACCATAGATAAATAAATAAACATAGATAGCTTATGTACGCAAAATCACCAAAAGATATTTTATTCGATATTCGACCTGAATGCATTTTCATTGGGAGTTTTAGGTTTACATAACATATATTTTCAGTTTTTTGAGTTAAAAATTAAAAATCTGGCCGCATTTTAGTTTTGTAATACATTGAAAGGATGCTTGCATGTGTAGTATAGATTCTGTAAACTAATTAACTAACATTTCTTCTATTTTCCTGCTGCCTTGGATAGAAAATCTGACGATTTTCACTCTACACCTGTCTTTCTTGATATCGGTGTAGGTTTGTTCTTCCGTCTCATCCAGCTCATCATCATTATCATCATCATCATCATCCTCATCATCTTAATTATCAGCAAAATTTTAATTCAAATAATCTCACACAAATAAACCAATCAAACCCAACTACTAAATCTGTGCAAATCAATAAAATTATTTTGCCCAAAATTTGCAAATGTCAAAAAATTGAAAATTATGAGTTCTGGATGAGAAGGAAGTTGCAAAATTGGAGTAAGTATTTAGGGTTAAGTAGATATTTAAACATACATGTTTTGAAAAATAAAAGTAAAGGTTATAATTATGCCTCAAAAAAAATATATAAAAAAAATTTGTTGTTAGATAGCCTGTGATGTACCAAGAAAATTTGTTTTACAATTTAACTTTCATATTTCCTCTCTTATTTAGATGATTTTCCAAATAAATTTTTTAAAAGCTGTTTTTTTTCAGAAAAAATGCATTTTAACATCATAAATGTTTTTTTCTTACTCTCTCAGTCAAAATTTTTTTCTTTACAAGATTTTTTGATGTAAGCTTCCATTTTAAATAGCAGTTACAGTCGCAAAATCAACCATGTTGCAAACTTTGTGTTAAACTAGTTATTGGACCAACTTTATGTTTTGTTTTACATTCTGCTTTAAAAACCTTCTATATATTAATTAAAATTATGTTTAATTATTAACATTGTGAATGTACCCTATCTGTGTTACTTATGTAAAATCTTTAAATATGCCAGTCTTAAAAAATGTAATTAGATGTTAGTCAATTTACGTGTATAAAATAAATTTATCAAATAATTGATAATGTTTTTTCTTTTTATTAATACTTAGTTATCCTATGAAAGAAAGGGATTATAGTCCTGGGGGGATTAAATTTGATTGATTTGTATTTTTTTCGATTTCTGTTTCGCGAAAAATATCGAAAATTTCGATAAAAAATGCAAAGGCAACAATGCGATAATTTTATAAAAAGCGAAAATTTCGCGAAAAAAAATATGGTCCATTTAGATGACTCTTTGCTGGCTCATTGCTAGCTGGATTTGGGCGAACCTGCGTAGACGGACAGAAACTCAGAAAGTTAGCTAGAGAAATCAAATTCTCTATATCGAAACATTTATTACAGTAAAAAGAAAGAAAAAAATATTAATATAATATGTTAAAACTTCAAATGTTGAGCTATCAGAGCAGAGAATTCCGCAAGTTTTTTTGCGCAATTAATTGTTGCACTTGTGGTTTTCGCGGAATTTTAGTTTTCGTAAAAATATTTTCGCGAAATTTTTGCGAACATTGTTTTCGCAAAATTATGCGTCGTTTTAGCATTTTTTGCTTCATTCATTTTCGCGAAATTTCGGGGAAACAATTGTGCGAAATGCCAACGGAAATTTTATCATTCTTTCGCGAAACATTTCGTTTGCTGGAAACCCTACTTGCAATGATTTATAGAGATGAGAAAATCAGAATTCATGACAAGGACTTCACTCCTTTCTTTAAAAATGTCGTATCGTCTTTTTACTTGGGCTGCAAATTATTTGCAGTATTTTCCACCAGAACTCGCTTTATTTGAACACATTATGGACATTTTGGCCCAAAATCTGAAAATTATGGGTTTGAGCAACTTTCAAAAGACAAAACAAGCTAAGTGCATGGTCCGAACGAAAAATAGACGAAGCACAAATAATTTCTATTCTTTGCTAATGGGGCGCAAATGTCATTTTATTATTATTATTATTTATTATTTAAAACAAAATGCAATTTAAACAAATCAAATCATATTAAATAATAGCATGACGTTGCCTAATTTGAAAAAGGTTGTAAGGTATTATATTAATGGATGAAATCCGGTTCAGAATAACTCCATTATTTCATTATATCTGAAATATTAACAATTTAAACGAAGTTGAAATAGTTCTTAAAAGTCAAAGCATTCTTTAAGGAGTGCTTCATTCTTCTATTCCGCGCTTCCCCGCGTTTGTATGCGCGCTTAAGCGCGCCTCGCCTTTAGCTCGGCACGACCAGGTTTAAAGGGACTATTCTTGACAATTGAACTTGTATTCACAATACCAATTGCTGTACTAGGAGAATAATATTTAGTATGATTTACTTATACTCAGAAATGCATAAAAAATACATATGAACTCAGAGCTTTCACACTTTTCAAGTTTTAAACTCAATAGTGAAGAAAATAAAAAAAAAATAGTTTGCTGAATACGTGGACCAGAGCCACCATGACAGAAGTCTCAGAATGCACATTCATCCTAATCAGATGGTCGCTATCAGGGATAGCGAAGTAAAACAATGATTCTTAAATGCCAAGCCACATAGGCTTGAGTTTGGAGGTAGTAGCAGACCAATTTTTGTTTTTGTTTTTATTTGGATTTAATTGCCTTTATTCATTGCACCGCTGTTTTGTAATCTTTCTTTTTATTACAAACTAGCTTAAGTGCCAGTCGATGCCCGTGAAATTTTAAAAATCGAATTAAAACAAATTTATTTAGCTTATGTCATCCCCAAGGGTATCAATGAGTTTCCTCACTAAAATTCAGCCCATTTAGTTCAGCCGTTTGGCCAGCAATAGCAAACCTATAAACGAACGAAGAGCTTTATTATATTGATTACAATTTTTTCAAAACAGAAACTTTTACAAGTCATAATTATTTTCTGGACCTTTGTCCTTTTTTTCATCTCATAGAATTCAAGTTTAAGTTGAGTTTTTTATTTATAAAAAAGTCTTTTACTATTTCTAGTTTAAATTACTAACATAACAGTATAATAAAATACAATTTTTTAGAAACAAATTACTAACATAACAGTATAATTACATGCGATTTTTTAGGAACAATGCTTTTTTCTGCAAGTTTTGTACATGCAAGGTACACATTGGACTGAATGTATACCTTTAAACTATCTTATACTTTCTACGAATGGGGTTAGGCTGTTTTGTGGATATTAATATTTTTGTTATTAAATATTTTTTATTTAGTTTTTTTCATATTCTCCATTTTTGTCGAATCTCTTAAATAAAATCTACAAAATGTTAAGACCCCAAAAAGGAAACTCAAAGAGTTTCGTTCAACGACATTCTTTAAATTTCGGGCGCTGTAATTTACATTGTGCGATCTGTTGAGTTCGTGGTGTACGTAAACACAAAGGTTTTTGGGGGGGTACTGTTGTGAATTTGGCATTGCCCTTTTTGCATGGAGGGTCACTTGAAATTCAGCTTACATTTCTCTTTAATGTATCTGATGAAATACATTTCATTACAAATACATCATCTGGTTTTAAGACTTCAACATTTTTTTCTTATAAATATGAAATCTTCTTGAAAAATTTACTGTTTATTATAACTAAGTTTATGCAGTGACGTCATTAAAAGCTGGATCTATGTTCGATCAAACTTTTAACATTCCCCCTAGTGATCTCTTGTCCTCGGTAAATCAGGGGGCAATAGTTTCACATTAACGCAGACTTGATAGGTCTCATTTTAACAATTTTGTATTCCAACATTGTTTTTGTTTCACCNCAGGAAGGACATCTGAATCCCTCCAGTGGAATGTAAATCACCTTGCGTAAAGTTTTGAATTACAAAAAGCATGTTTTCAAACCCCTCCAGTGAAAAAGAATTCCCTCCGGTGGTGTTCAGTGGAGTCAAAATCTTACTAGGAACTTCCGTGACTCGTCAATGACTCTCTTTATAAAGATGCGGCATCGGACAATCTACGCAAATTCTACGCACTTTGTTTGGTCTAATATAGATTTAAACATATTTCGTCTTCTTTAATGAATAAAGGCATTGTTTGCTTGCTTGTAAGTTTCATTCCAATTAAAGATTCATACTTTTTAACTCAAATCCCAACAAATCAATTGACGATGGATTATATATATATGCATCATGCATACATTTGTGAAAAATTATTTCTTTGCTTAAGATGAAGCCAAAGACGTATTCAGGGGGGGGGCTATGGTGGCTAAGCTGAGCCCCCCTGGACAAATTCCTGAATACGCCCCTAGATGAAACAAAAGACGACAGCATCTCACAGTTGTTAACCTTTTCATATTTGATATATTTAGTGTCCTGTCCCTCTCACTGTATAAAATGTCACTCCGTAGCACTTTAAAAAACATATTTGACTACATCTGAATATTTTTCATACAAAAGAGATGCGTCACTTATTCACATTTATTTCAACAAAAGATCCTTTTATCCAACAAAGAAAAAAAATTAGAATTACAATTTAATATTATCAATTTGTGTTCACTTTTGGCACAAAACATTCACTATTGTGTAAAAAAAAAACTGCAGTTTTAATGTTAATTGTTAAACGCTCAAGCAATCAAAATAACCAATGACGTCAAATATAGAGCGTACACAATTATCATATATTCTATTATCTTTATATACAGAGTCTGTGTGCGAAGTAAATTTTAATCTTTGTACAAGTGCAAGAGGTGTCAAAATTGAAAATAAAATTCCAAACACATAAATGTAAAAATCTCTTAAGTAGAGCAGCTTCTTTCAATTTTGGGGTCTCAGCGATTTTTAAAAATGAAATTGCGCAAACACGAAATTAAGGCTAGAATTTCGTTCTAGACTTTCTTTCCAAATCGTGAAAACAATGCCAATTTTCTTCTTTTCTCAGAGAGAATGGAAGCGTGCTTTGCAGCTTTTGATAAAGACGAGTAAGTATAAAATCAAAAAGTAATTAGTACTGGGCTACTAGGGCGCTTCGCGCACATCTTTTTTAACTCTCTTCTGTAAACATTTTCTCTTCGTATAAAAATAAACAAAAAAGTTGATTGTCAAAACTTTACGAAAATCAATTTTTTTTTAAATCCTGAGCATCTAATATACATTCTCATGGTCATGTGAATTGCCTCAAAAATTTGGGCCTTATTGGTTCAGCCGTTTTGACGTTTATTTAATACAAACAAACAAAAAAGCATAGTATATATATAGTTATAAATATGTATAGATAGTTGCTAATGTGTTCTATAAATTCTTTAAAAGAAATGTAATATATAAATGATTATCAAACACGGAAACACTTAAAAATTTTAAAAATTCAGCTTTCCTAATGGGGTGAGAATAAGATATATGTTTACAACACTTTTTTATTTATTTCAAAATGTCAAATACATTTTTCAAATTTTAACGGATTTTTCTAATTGGCGCATTATCAAAAATAAAATTCTTTTTAAACTTTAACGGTCCATAAACCTTCCCTGAGATCTCAAAGTTTGGGCCCAATAAGTTCAGAAGTTTTGACGTTTTTGGATACAAATAGACAAACGAACAGACAGACTATAGAAGTATATATATATATAAATTTATATATACTAGGCTTTTAGGGCGCTTCGCGCCCATCTTCTACTTAAATTGTGAACATGTTCTTTTTGTTAACATTGCGAATTTAAAAAAAAAATCGCAGACAGACAGACAGACAAGCCAAATTTATATGTAGATATGTATATGTACACGGTGAAAACTTGCTACAAATAGACTTAATAATTTTAATGATTATATTTTTAGGGACGGGTCAATAAATATCAATGAATTTTCGGCTTTGTGCAAAGCATTGTTTAGAAATGAGAAAGGAAAACCTTATAAGTAAGATATTTTAATTCAAGTGCACGTACAGAATCTTTTTAATATTAGAAGATTTTTGCAGCTCTCTACTTTACCTAAACCATACTTCTTACTAAATTATCATTAAATTATTATTATTATTTACAGGACATTACAAAACATATTTGCAAAATAATGCATTTTTGAAATTTAGAGCTAAGAAATAAAATTCATGAGCTGAGGTTTGTAGGGTTTGTTTCATAAAAAAGAATCCCTTCCCAGAGTTGCTTCATGAAGATCATTAGTAGCTGATAAAAGTGTGATTGTCATAGGTTTTGCATATTTAAAATTATGCATAATACAAAAATGCTAAAATATTTTTGTGCTAAAGTTTTCTTACATACAGTGTAAAATCAGATTTGAGAGCTATTTTTTTCATAATTTTTTTCTGATTTTTCCGATTTGTTTTCTTTGGTTTCTCAACTGAAACCTGGCTTTAAAAAAATTTATATGATGGCTCCTTAATATGTGGCTGACTTCACTTGACATTTTTTTCATCTAAAAGAGATATTGATTTTATGTTTAGCGTTCGAGGAAGATTAGACACACCTCACCATTTCTTCGTCCGCACCGCGAATGACATCACAATGCTCATTATTATTTCTTCCGCAATCAAAGCCTTTTTTCGTCCGGTCGTTGCTTCTGTGCATTCAAATATCTTTTTTTATGCATAATAACATATTTTTTTAATGTAGGCAATATTATTTTAATCAATATGGGTTAGTTTTATTTGAATAAATTTTGTTTTCAAATTTAAACGATATTTAAGCCCAATTTTTAAAGAAACGGAAAATGCGTGCCTCAACTATTTTTCTAGTACAATAGATGGCAACGTAGAGTATGTATACTCTCAGTACATTTGTATTTTGACGTCAAAAGTTTCAATTTAGTTTATGTGTCCAAAAAAAAATATTAATGACAGTGTTAGTTTTAGAATAAAGTGCTTATCTTACAGTAAGTAAGTGCAATTTTGTGTTTTTTATTTTGTGTTTTTTTCTTCACTTTTTTATTTAATCTTGGAAAACATGTCAACTAATGTGAAAAAAATTCGTTTCCTTGTTATATTTGACACTTGTGACGTCAGGTATAATTGGTCCATTTCTCTGTTGCCACCTATTTTGAGGGAGGGAACCCCCGGACGCCATGAGCCGCTATGCAGACACGAGCCTCCTAGAGTTGCTAGGCAGACCAAGCCTCAGCTTTTCAGAAATGAGCATGCGCAACACATCAAAAGTGTCTGTGTAATACAGGAGGTTTTTTTTATACTTGTGTTTTAAGTTTAAATAAAAGATTTTTTTTGAAATTTTCAGACAAGTGTAACATTTAATCCCTTGATATCGTTAGTAATACAGGAGGTTTTTTTATACTTGTGTTTTAAGTTTAAATAAAAGATTTTTTTTTGAACTTTTTAGACAAGGCATGAGAGGCTTCTCAAAGATGAGAAGTATTTATTAGTTATCATAAAATGTGCCTAATTATGACTAATAAAGTGGTATCTAAAACATTTTTTACACGAAAATCAAAATATTTAGAAACAAAATTGAATTGAATTTTATTTCATCTTTTATAATCTTTGATTTTAGCGATACCTTTTTTTGAAGTTCAAATTAAATCTAAAAAATTTGTATTTATTATTTAAATCTTAACATTTTTCAAGAAAAGGTATTGTTTAAATTAAAGATTACAACAAAACAAACCAAGTTTACTCCAGAAATATTTCTCCAAATATCTTCCTTTCTGCATAAGAAATGTTTAAAGTTTTAATATGAATCTTATAAACCACTTTATGAGTCCATATATGTTTCTAATCATGACAATCAATGAACAACTCTAATCTTTAGTAAAATTCTTATGCCACTACGTCAAAAAAAACTGTTAAAAGTTTTCATCCCTCATAAAAACCAAGATTTAAAAAAGCTGCTGTATGGTGGAGGCTCGATTACTGCATAGCGGAGGCACGGTCTGCATAACGTAGGCTTTGTCTGCATAGAGGAGGCTCGGTCAGTCAAAAAGTTAAAGAGTACCCTTGTAAATCGGGAATGCCCCTTTTTAAATTGATGGTCACTTGAAATTAAGCCTACAGTTCTTTAAACATAAATCCTGGCATGTTTTTTTTCCTACATTTATTTCTATAGCTCTTCGCTCATGTATATATAAATATGTAAGCTAAAGCCTGTGCAAACGGCTAGACCGAATTTTTTCTTCAAAAAATCGATTTTTTTCTTCAAAAATCTATTTTTTAATTGAAATTTTTTTTTGATTTTTGATTTTTTAAAATTCCACTGGCACCGCCGGTGTAGTTCAAGGAGTGGACTCGGCTGCATGGGACTCCCCATAAAGTTTTAACCATTTTAACACAATGTTAGACATTAAAAGCAATGTCAAAACTTTAAAAATTATTAATTGACATATATTGAATACGCATATATTTTAAAAGGGTGAAGGCAAAACAAGTTATTTCCCCATTGAATGTCGTCTTCCTTTCAAATGATCAAAATAATTAATATTTACTCGAGGCATAGATAATTTTTAGTGTGATTTTCCAATCAAAATACATTAATAAATATCGGAAAATGTCATTACAATGCTTTTTATGCCTAACATTTTGTTGAAATAGTTCAAACTTTAGGGAGAGTCCGCCCCATGCAAGAGTCCGCTCCATGCATGACACCGGGCTTTTCAGCTAAATATTTATATAATTTATATTCTACTTATCAAGTTTTACTTTCGTAATTTGTCTTTAAAGCTGAGCTGAGCTGATTCTTACAGAAGTCTGAGTAATAAGGGTAATCACATATATAAAGTAATTCCTGGAATTCAGATTAGCTTGAAGCAACATAGGATATAGGAATAAAGATTTTGCTTTGATTTATATCTCACACTCGAAATAAAAAATCGATTAAATTCAACAAAAAATCGCCAGAATTGAATGACTTCCAAATGAGCAAAATTTTTTGTCAATTATAAGAAATTTTTTATTTCGAAACTAAAATTAACCAAAGTTTTTATTCATGTCTCTCTGTAAAACAGTAAACCTCCAAATATCCCTCCTTAAACATAATCCTTCTTATCCCTTCCAACAACATATTTAGTACTGCAGGACACAGTTTCCAGTTGTTTGACCATCAGTAATAGGGTTTTTTATTCAACAGTTTTTATTCAAAAAACAACTTTATTAAATTTCAGAAAAGTTTGTCCAAAATTTGTTAAAGTAATCTTTGAATAATAATGAAAAATAATTTTATTTATATTATCAAAAAACTAGCATCTGAGCAAATGTACAACTTTTGCTATCGATGCGTTAAGTTTTTGCAGAATAATGCGCATTACAAGAGAGGCACTGGAAATGATTTGTAGTCCTATCAATACGATTTTTAGTTAAAATTTTTGAGAAAAGTTTGCCGGCTTCAGATCAAGTTTAGCGAAATAGATCAAGTTTAGCGAAATAGATCAAGTTTAGCGAAATAGCTCAAGATTAGCGAAATAGATTAAATTTAGAGAAATAGATCAAGTTTAGCGAAATAGATCAAGTTTAGCGAAATAGATCAAGTTTAGCGAAATAGATCAAGTTTATCGAAATAGATCAAGTTTAGCGAAATAGATCAAGTTTAGCGAAATTGTGAATGAAACCCCTGAATTGTATCCCTTCACTCTGCATATAATACAAAAGTTTTGAATGCGAGTTAAGGTTACTCAATCTTTAGAATTATTGCCTAGGAAAGTTCGGTAAACTTTTGGTTCCTTGATATATTGTGAACTATCTTATGAATCACAATTTGATCATCTTATGAATCACAATTTGATCCAAAAAAGTCCATGATTAAAAATGTGGAATTTGTGATAGAATATAGTCAATTTTAAATTCCCAGCTTGATTGGTCGACAAGGACCGAACTATTAAATCCCAAAATACCGGATTTTATGGCAGTTTTTAGGCTAGTTAACACCATTCTCACTTTTCCATTTGGCGGGTTTACATCTTGTTTTGGTTCTTGGTTTTATAATTCTTTTTAATTCGTTATTCTCCCTTTTGTAATATTTTCTAATGTCTAAAAGTTTAAAATAAAACTTTTCTTGAACATATATATCACGCTCATTTAACATTTCGGTCTTTGTCCCAGCAAGAAGGGACTTTGGATCACAATTTTATCCTTTACAAGGTATGTCCAAACTATTAATAACAGGTTTCAGTTATATCGTAACTTTTCATTTTTGTCTTTAATTCATATATCAACTTTGTTTATGTGATTATTACCCTTACTTGATACCGATCAAACAAACAAAATATAATGAATACTATAAATGTAAAATTTTCTTTTCAGAACATATCTTTTATCTAGAATTTTTTTCTTCTTCTATCCCTTGTAAAAACTACATTCTTTTTGTATTAAAATAGAGACTTCAATCTGAAGAAATGTTCTTTTGTTTTTGCAAAATATACTGAGGATATAATATATCAGCTGTCTTTTTTACATTAATCTACTTTGCTGAAAATTTAGTGAATTTTCATTGCACAATGCATCACCAATGACTTGAAATTTCATTGCACAATGCATAACCAAGGACTTGAATTTTCATAGCATAATGCATCACCAATGACTTGAATTTTCATTGCATGATGCATCACCAATGACTTGAATTTTCACTGCAAAATGCATCACCAATGACTTGAATTTTCATTGCAAAATGCATCACCAATGACTTGAATTTTCATTGCAAAATGCATCACCAAAGATGGATAACTTTAATGATTTTCTTAATTTAAACAAAAAAGGGTGTTTTTTAATGGTTTTTGTCAACTTTGGCAATTATATATCTTTGGCATTTATGCCATTTGAAAATGAATGAAATGTATAAAATTCGTTTAGAAAATATCTCTTAGATGCTGTTTTCGTCGCATATATCAATACAATGTAGACAACTTTCGATTTCAATTTTAATGTATTTCAAGCTGTTAACCCTATCTCTGCTGGGGTACTTGAAAACCAGGATATGCTGGGGGGGGGTAAATTTGAACAAATTAAAAATTTTAACAATATATATAAAATATAATGGATTATGGTCGAAGCAATTAAACAAGGTCCTCAGACGTCTGCAGACACCCTGTCATCCATATTTACATCATTTTCTGCTCTACACTTCTTTTCCAATTTTAGAAGCTGTCAATTAAAAAAGCTTCTCTTTGATTACTTGTAAACTTGCAATTCGTGAAAAGCTTGCTAACAATCAAAACTTAAAAAAATAGTCGTCTTCATTGTATTAATAAAATCGCCGACCACAATCCACCAATTATTTTAAAAATGTAAATAATAAATGTGTAATTTTCCTCTTCCTTTTCCTTTTTTAAATTTGGTTGGGTGAAAATTCCCACAACCTCAATTTTTAGAGATTTTAAAATATTTCCTCCTCAAACACTTAATTTTGCTTTTTTTCTTATATTTTATAAATAAAAAATTACTGAGTTTAAAAAAAAAATAAAAAAAATAGATTGAAAAATTAAAATTTCGTCTTTTCGCCATTACTGGCTTTTCCCAAAATTATATATCTCCTACTTTTGTAGAACGTTTTAAAGAAATAGTTAAAAATATTTCTTGAAATATTTTTTCTTTTTCTTATAATTCTTATAATGTTGTCATAGGATTTCTATTCTATTTGTATGGAGATCGCCATCTTTATTGTCATGCATAGTCTAACGCTTGACTTTAACCACAATCAAATTAATTTTTGATACAGATTTGACAACAAATAAATTCAATTGTTTGTGCATTATTTTAGCAAAGTTATTAATGGGAATATTAATTTTTACTTTATGGCCTTATCAACATATGCTTTTATGATCTCACGACCTTATGACTTTATGACTTCATGAACTTATGATCGACTTTATGACCTTATGACCTTGTGACCTTTTGACCTTATGACCTTATGACCTTATGACCATATGACCTTATGACCTTATGACCTTATGACCTTATGACCTTATGACCTTATGACCTTAAGACCTTAAGACCTTAAGACCTTATGATCTTATGACCTTATGACCTTATGACCTTATGACCCATGACCATATGAACCATGATCATATGACCCATGACCATATGAACCATGATCATATGACCCATGACCATATGAACCATGATCATATGACCCATGGCCATATGAACCATATAGGCATGACTTCTTTTATATTTTAGACTTGACTCCCAGCAGGTATCAGATCTGTTTATGATATTTAACACGTCTGGTGATGGTTCTATGAGTAAACAGGAGTTTGTTTACTGCTGGAATGGTTGGATTAAAAAGGTGAAACCAAATATTGGGATTTCTAGAAGTTTTATTTAAAGGAACTGTACGCGTAATTTTAAGTGACCCTCATACAAAAAACACACTGTCCGATTTTCATCGTTACCTTTAAAACCTTAATCTGATCAAAACTGTAGAAGATAACACAGTTTTCAGATTTTTCCATCATTTCTATAAAGCTAGAAATGCGCAAGTCACTTTAAATTTTGATGAGAAACCACAAAATAAAATAAACAATTTTAATGAACAAACACATAAATATCTAATTTATACTTGATCACTCAACGCTTTCAACGATACCGTTTTAAATCATGCTGAGCTGGGAACTTATGAATGGTAGATATCGGGATTAATGCTTGATCCACTCTTTTTTCTTAATCTCCAGATTAAATAATGCTTGTCCTCCTTTTTTATTAATCTTCAGAGCTGGGAACTTTAGAATGGTGGATATCGGGATTAATGCTTGATCCACTTTTTTTCTTAATCTCCAGATTGAATAATGCTTGTCATCCTCTTGTTATTAATCTCCAAATTAATTAACTGATCGGGATTAAGGATATCCCCTTCTAAAGTTTTCAGCTCTGATTAATTAACCGAACGAGATTAAGGATATCCAATTCTAAAGTTCCCAGCTCAGGTCACCTAGAAATTACGCTTACAGTCACATTAAGTGTTTCACAATTCAACATTGTTTCTTTACACAAAAAAAATATATAATTTTTAACCCTATCCTATGTTGGGCGAGTTGTGCTAAGTTTGTCTAATATATTAGGGGTCGTGGGTTAGGAGGGACTATGAGATAGGGGCGTGTGATATATCAGTAGTCGAACTTTTCTTGGCTTGCCTTAAAAATAAATAGACTTCTAACTTTAATGGTTAGGGTGCTTGGCGGGTTAAAAAAAAACATTGTAAAAGCAAATTGGACAAATATAAAAATAAAAAACTTTATGTATTGGAAAAAACTTTTTGTTGCAAAGTTTGTTTTCAAACCCACTCTCCCCAAACCACGACAGGTTTAAGAAACTTTTAACTTTTTAAAACCGACAGAAATCCTTCAAACTACACATTTTTAACATAGCAGGTAGCTCACTCGAGTTTCCCTCTAATTTTCTTAAACCCTGGAGGACCTGGAGGCAATATTTAGAATTTCTTCCCCCTCCTTCTGATACATTTTCAAGAAAAAGAGGAGCAAGCGATACATTGAAGATGACTGAAAAATATATAGACATGTTTAGAAAAGGAATTTTTAATCATTCTTCCCTTTGTTTTTACAGCAATCATTACTGACAAATCTATGTATAAAATAAATGACATGTTTAAAAAGGGTATTTTTAATCTTTTTTCCCTTTGCTTTTACAGCAATCATTAGTGACAAATATATATATAAAATATATAAACATGTTTAACAATGGTATTTTTAATTAATTTTCCCTTTGTTTTTACAGTAATCATTAGTGACAAATCTATATATATAAAAATATATAGACATGTTTAAAAAGAAAATTTTTAATCGTTTTTCCCTTTGTTTTTACAGTAATCATTAGTGACAAATCTATGGGAATTAGATCTGTCCCCAGGGATTTATAGTATGATTTCTTTTATGTATAAAGAAATGAAAATCTTATAAATTCACGAAACCTCTCACTTAAATCTAAGATCAATTTCTCTAAATTTGGTAAAATATTTCCTTTGATACTAAAACCACTAGTATACATTGGTAGGCGATTATATCAATACAATGAAGACGACTTGAAATTTCAACGATTCCAACAGCATGGATACACAAAAATGGAAACCAGATGAACCAAATTAAAAAAAGCTTCTCTTTAGTTACTTGTAAACTTGTTGTACGAAAAAAGCTTTTGTTAACAATAAAACTTATAGAGACAATTCGTCTTCATTATATTGATATTATCGCCTACCACCGTACAAGAACTGCGTAATATACAAATCAATTATTTCTAGAGGTATATTTATGTTTAAAAATAGAATTTTGATTGTATAATAAATACACAAGAGGAATGATTGATTGAATATTTTCCCGAGAGTGGAATTTATGTTGAGCACCACAACAGTATTTCTGTAATTATATAATTAGCATGCAACCTGGTCTATTTATACTTTTTACACAGGTTATACTTATTTATTACACAATTTCAATAATAATAAACAACAAATATTAAATGGCTAAATATTGGTTTAACTGAGTTTTGCCTCAAACTCTGATTTTATAATCCCTTTATTTTTGCAACTCAATATCCTAGACCTTAGATATTTCAAGCTTTAAATTCTGGTAGATTGAAAAGTCTAAGTTTCAAATATTAGAGGTTTAGACCAACAGGGTGCACAGAAATAAGGATCAAAATTTTGAGTTTATGGCAAAGACTCATTTCTTTAGTTCTTTTCATATCCCAGAGTATTAGACCCTAGATTTAACCAACTTTTAATGTTTTTAGATTGTTCGCCCTCAGTCTGCCCTTGTTGTCGTGGATGTTCAAAATGATTTTATCTCGGGTTCTCTAGGCAACATTCTCTAATTTACAAATATAGTTTAGCGTACAGTAGTTATTTATTCATTCCTGGGGCAAACTATAAAGAAAAAAGTGATAATTCAAAACAAAGAATTTTTGGCTCTATTTCTTTTGCCATAATATGTTTTCAATAAGCAACACTTGCCATAAGGTACAGTTTGCCATAATTATAGTTAATTTTAATCAAAATTAATCATATATTGATTATAATTATAATTAACCTCGACCATGTCCAATACTTCACTTCTGTATGGAGGAGGAGTTAGCTATGAGAGGTGTAGATCACCCTGAACTAACGAGAGAGAGAGAAGCATTCGGTTTCTTTTATTTGAAATCAAACGTGTTTTCGACTATTACTCAACAGTCTTTAGACTTACAGATTTGTTTATTTTATACTTTTTCTTTCAAAATGCATATGCCAACAAAAAAGTATTTAAGATAAAAGGCTATACAATTATGTAAAAGGGGTCATATTGTGATCGAAAGTCACAGTTTTCTGAAATATTGGCAGAACCGTTAAATCCACGTGAGATATTGCTATCCAAACCATAGATTTCCCTTCTAGTAGTGTTGATGGTCATTACAAGGTCCTCCTGAGAAAGTAAGAATTAAAGTTCTCTGATTTCAACCAGTTTGTTGGAAATTTTCGTGAGAAATCTGGCGCGTTAAACAAATAAGTTAGATTTCTACTTTGTAAAAATAAGAAAATTATGGCCAAAGTAACTATGGCAAGTATCACTTATGGCAAAAGTTTTTATGGCATTTGTAATTTTGGCAAACGGATTTATGACAAATGAAGCTGAGCCGAAATTTCGGAACATAATAATATATAGTTGATCAAATCTTTTTTAACTTTAATAATTTATTTTTGGATAAGGGTTGTGGGCACAAGCTCACGCATACACATAAAACGAAATATCAATAAATCTATTTCCAGTTTGTTATCAAAAATCTAAGCTGAGTCTCTATTTCCTCTCTAACATTACGATTTCTATAACTATGATATACAATATTGTTTAAGTAGATATTTCATGTATTTTCAAATAAGCTAGATTGTAATATTTAAACTAAACTCTTCACTCCTTTCTCCGGGGTGAGTCAGTACATGAAAACTGGAGATTGATTAGTGCACTCCAGATCTTTATAGAATACAGACGTTTAATCTCCCGTTTGTATATAAAGGCTGGGGAACTTGCATGTTAGACAGTTAACGGACAGCTAACAGATAGATGGATCGTTAACATGCCTACTAGAGAACACAAACGGTCAACAGCCTCTTCCCCATCATTATTTACAAATGTGTATCCTCAAATTCCTCAGTCTGATCAAGACATTTGTAACCTTCAGTTTCTGGGACCATGGGTCATTTGTTCTCATACCAGCCCGTTTAAAATACCCACTAAGATATCCAGGATACAGAGAAGAACTATAGGATCTCCAAGATATACAGAGGAGAAACCAGGATATCCAAGATATTAGATGTAGCCTCATCCTTATATTGTAGACGCTGATCTTTACAGACACAGCTCTTCACATATCTGGAGCCGCTAGAAGATCCAGTCAGACCTAGGACTTCAGAAGCAGAAGCTAAGATTAATATTGGAGACGCTGCTCTTTACAGACAGCTCTTCACAGACCTGTCATAGAAGCAGCTGAGGAACAAGATAATCTTGAGACAAGAGACGCTGCTCTGTACATACAGCCCCGGTAACAAACAGCTAACATAGCACAAACTCTAGGAGAAGCTCCGGTAATAAAGAAAGCAGTTGGGAATGTAGTGGAAGCATTTCAGATTGTTGGAGCCGCTAAACGAGTTACCTAATTGAGGAAGCTGCCTAGATAGATACGGAACTGGAGCAGCTAAAACAAGATATTGAGTATGTGGAAGCTGCTCAGACAGACACTGAACTGGAACAGACGAACCAGTTTCTCTGATACCATAGAGAGCTGATAAACCAAGAATATCCTTAAACATATGTATTTAGATCAATAAGCTAATAAGCTGATAAATCCCAGAGATATATAGAGAGGAAATTAAAGGGGTTTTTAAAACAAAGTACAGGGAGAAAAACATTTGTACACGCCCTTAACAGAGGGAGCAAATGATTAATCTCGAAAATCCCTAAGATTTATATCTGTAATTGTAATCGATTGAATAGCTTTAATCATTACAACGTAAATATAAGTGGTAAGATAGAACATGGTGTATGTTCATATAAAAATTATAAAGCACGTTTCTATTAGCATTAACAAGATTTTATTTTCTGAAATGGCAATTCGATGCATTTTCGATTTTCAAGAATTTGGTCTGACTTTTCAAGTGCTTTGTAATCAAATGAAAAATGTTTATTTGATCAGCCTTGTTAAATAGAAAATTATATATATAAACAGTTGCATTTACAACCAAAAGGTTGATTAAAGCTTAATTAACATTTCCACAGCGCAAATTTTGATGAAGGAAAGTAATTGAATGCCAAGTGCAAAATGAGGCCTTTCAACATTATCAGAAAAACAAAAACACTTGCGTTTATTCCTACAGAGCGAACTATTCAAAGGGACTGTAAGCGTAATTTCAAGTGACCCTCCATGCAAAGATGACAATGCCCGATTTACATCGGTACACATGAAACCTTAATACCCATTGCTTATGATAAACAAGAAATGCGAAAGTGACTTTCGCAGAGAAACCGCAATTAAGCAAAAGAAAAAACAGTTTAAAGCAACAAAACGTTGATATCTGATATATAATTGATCAGCCAAAGCTTTAAATGGTACAGTTGTAAATCGGACATTGCCATGTAGGGCCACTTGAACTACGCTTACAGTAAAACGCTTTGTCATTCCTTGTTAAACGTTGGAAACATCGAAAGAATTTATGAAATGTCGTATTCTTAACCTACTTAATGGAATGTTGCAGATATTTATTTTTTAAATTGAATGACTATATATTGAGTTCTTTAAAACTGTTCTTGCATATTTCATGGCCATTTATTTATTTTTACAATTACTGAGATTTAGGTATCATTTTATATAAAATTGTAATCTCTGTTTGCCTGTTTGTGTGTCCGATCATAACCCAGGAACCCCTGGCCAGAATTTATTGGGGAACTCGGGAGAACAACGGTAATGTTCTTAGCTTGGTTTTGAGATTCCAAATTGAATGGTTTTCCATTTTTTATAGCGAAAATTTAGTTTCCCGGTAAAAATCGGTCAAGTGCGGGTAAATGGCAGGAGTACCCTGGGTTCCTAAGCTAAATAATACAAAACCCATTAAAATATAGTCAAGACGACATTTTATAAATGCTTTCAATTACTCCGAAGTTCAGGGTTAAACTAAATTATTTCATTTAAGGATGCTTGATACTGTACCCTTCGACATGCATTGCTACAGTCTGGATTGGCATCCGAAGGAATTTTACAATTAAAATATCCAATATCTGTATCAAAGAACTCATATACTTTTTTAGTTATTATTAAAAGTAACGCTCGACGCACAACGAGTCTGGAAAATTAGAAATGAACGCTTCTGAGTTTTATTCATTACTCGTCAGTGTTTAAAGTGAGTGTCTGGTTTATAGACAATAGACCTTGTATGTAGTTGAGCTGAGAAGGCAGTATTTTAGAGAAATATTTTAGGATTCATTTGAGAAAATCGATTAGGATTTTAAAGATAGAATTTGTGCTCTTGCTGAACAAATATGCACCGTAAAAAAAATTTCGCTACATACCGTTCATTCTCGGCTCTACTACCATTACTAGCCAGACACTCCCTTTAAGAACATTTAGGATTTATATAAGTTTAGTTTTATCATTAATGTTGGGTTAAAATTGTAAAAATATGGTTTCAGGATCATATTTCCTTTATTGAGAACGTTGGAATCAGAACTCTGGCAGCTGATAGTCCGGTCAGTTAAATATAGATTTAAAGAGACTGTACGCGTAATTTTAAGGAAGACCCATGCAAAGATGACAACATTACTGTGAACAACGTTTAGAAAACGGTAATGCTCAATCTTACAGACTAACAATCTTTTGTTTAGAATATAAATACAGGGTGTTCCACGAAACCAGACAGTAGCAAGAGGAATTGAAAGTCGTCTTTGAAAGTTTTATTTATTGCTGACTTTCAGTCGTGTACGTCATTTCACGCGTATGATTCCTAAAACAAAACCCACAACATTCTCCTAGCCCTGGTATTTCCAGAAGGTGCTTTGCCTTTTTTGTGCTGTCAACATTACCGGAGATATTAAGAAGTTTGTTCAGATTTAATTTTTCTCAAATAAAACATTATGCTTTTTTAATTAGGTTAGCGAATAAATGCCGCAAATTGTTGCAAAGATCAAAGACGACCTTCAATTCGTTTTGCTACTGCTGTAGACAAAAGATTGTTAGTTTGTATTTTTGAGCATTACCGTTTTCTAAACGTTGTTTACAAGAAGATTGGTTCTTAAGCTGTCCTAATCTGTGAAATTAACCTGACCCTTTTTGTAAATTCTATCTATATGATAAAGCAGACATTCGTGTATATATATATATATGTTGCCTATAGCCGACCAAACGGCTGGACCGAATGGGCTGAAATTTTTTGTGGACACTCATTGGTGGCCGGGAGGTGTTAAAGGCTAAAAGAAATTCGAAATTTAAAAAAAAATTACATTTTTTAATAAATTTTTTTTTACCACGGGCAACGCCGGGCACTTGAGCTAGTATTTATTAAAGTTAAAGGGCCGGACAGACTTAATTTCTAATTCTAGTAACTATCTATTTAAAGAAGTCACTGTCTACGATTCACCTTTTAAACCTTTGTATGGTCAATGTTGATGGAGATACCTTATTTTGCAAGTACCCAAGTTTATCCCCAGAAACGTTTGTAATGATTGATAACTTTGATGATCATATTTTTAAAAATCATCTATTATCAATATGGAAAAAAAACAACAAATAGGTAATTCACAATATGTAGAGGAACGGAGTTTTTGCCGCAAACTCAAATTTTCTAATCACTATTTCTTCGCAACCTGATGGCGTAAACCTTTGATATTTTACACTTAGATTGTTTAATCTAACAGAATTCATAGTTTAAAATAATTATGGGTTACGACATTGGGTTGTAAAGATATAGGGATTAAAAGGTTTGAGTTTGTGGCAAAAACTTAGTTTTTAAAATTTATATAATAAGTGTCTTCTATAGATTCAAGACGGAGGAAAGTGCAATTTGTATGATCTTGTTATTTTCGAGGGACCACCAAAAACTAGCCAAATCCTTTGGCCAGCACATTGCATCCAGGAACTTGTTTAAACAAGCTCTGTAAACTAATTAAACAAGTTATTTTGTAATAAGCCAAGTCATCAAATTAAACTTTAAATATAAAATCATATAAGTCATATCCAAATCAAAATAACAAAAATAGATACAATAAGTTGTAAAGGAATTGAGTCTTTGCAACAAACTCAAAAAATTCTAATCCCTATTTCTTTGCAACCTTTAATAGTTTAAACTTACAGCACTGATAAACAGAAAACTCTGGAATAGAAAGTAGACTTTTAGACTCAAGTTATAACTTTTAAAATTCCAATGAACTCGAGGCATATCAATTGTGCATTTTAAACAGACCCGTTTCACTAATAAGTGGTTTAATGACTTGCTAGTAAAGCTATTTGCTTTGTAACATCATCAAATGCACTTAAGTATTGCTTTAATGTCGTCTTCCTATTCTACAGTTTTCTGGTTATTACTGTAGATGATTTGATCTAAATTGATTCATAGTTTGAAATGTTCAAGGTTTATAACATTGGGTTGCAAAGATATAGTAATTAGAAAATAAGAGTTTGTGGCAAAGAGTCAATGACTTTGTTTGAAATATAACAAAAAATGTTTTGGTGTGTGGAGCAGGAGTGGAGAAAATGGATAGTAAATTGTTTAAACCTGTTTTATGAATAGGAATCATGGGGCGCAGAACTACATAAAGATTTAAAGGTTTGTTTATTTGTTTCAATACAATAAAGACGACTTTTCGATTTAAGTTAAGATTTCTGATTTTTTCAAATTACAACTTTACTATAGTAAAGAAAGAGAAGCATATTTGTGTGTATCCATGCTGTTGGAAAGCTTGGTAAAAATCAAAAATTGAAATCGGAGGCGTCTTCATTGTTAAAGAAATTATATAACTCGATTGAAACCGGTTAACATCAGGTTAAAAAGTATAAGAATTAACAAAGAAAAAAAAGAGTTGGTGGTGAGTAATAATTTTTTTTTTTAAAAAACACGTTTAATTCAAGGTTAGTGTTACAACTGAACTCTATCTAGATATTATACAGTTTGTCAATAAAGTGTTTGGTATTTTCCCAATTTACAAATGGTAACTTCCTAATTGTGTAATCTCCTCAGCGTCAACTTCCGAAAGGTTAGGTTAGGCCCTTTAAGGCGCCGCAGGCTGCAATGGGGGAGGGCCGAGCGCTGCGGCTAGAATGGGTTAGGGGGGGCCGAGCGTTGCGCTGCGGTTATGGCATACTTGGGAAGTTGCCGCTTGGGAAATTTCACATTTGAGAAGTTGCCACTTTGGGAATTAACTTTGGGAAATGTCTGCATGGGAAAGTACAGGGTCATTACAGTTGGTTTAATATGTCTTCTTCCATAATTTTTTAAAGTTATTTGTACCCAAAGAGAATAATATGAAAATGTTCATGCCAGCCATATTATAGTAAAGTAAAATGTATTTGAGTAAAAGATTTTTAAAGCAAAAAAAGGTGCAAAAAGTCTATAATATATAATACAGTATATGAAAGAAGACATTCAAAACTATTCAGAAGCTGTCGTGTTTCGTGGGACACCCTGTACCTAACATCGTCAATACTATTTTCCAATCAAAGCTTTGCATTAGATCTATTAAGTTTTGAAAATGCAATCAACGTTCTTTCATCTGTTTTCAATTCAAAATATTTGTTGAATCACTTCAATCTAGAAGCTATAAATGAAAAACCTTGATTAATTACTATTTTATCTAATTGCTTGTTATCCCAAATACATGCACAGATTTAAAATACTCGTTTTCCTAAACATTTTTTTGTTAAAACAATCATATCTATTCGTTTTCTTTTCAATCAAGTTCTTTTTGGGTTGTTTTTAGTTGTTCTGAAAGTTTTAAAAGTTTAAAGTGATTTTTGACATCTGCAGTACACTTTGATTCCTCAATGGTATCATTAATTTCAAATATCACCAACCTAAAAATGCAATGATATTGCAAGGAGGAATATATGTATTGTATATTATACACTGTCAGTACACAGTACAAAAAATCTAATAAAGAAATAAATCAATTTGCAACTGTGACAGGAAAGCTGAGTGTTTTATTTTATTGGATTTATAAATATATATAGAGTTCGTTGCAGTCATTAACTCTTTCAGTCTAGTGGGGGATACATCAACATTCATTAGAAATAACAAAAACAATGCGACCGCTCAGATAAACCTTTGTTAGGGATTTTTTAAAATCTTAGATATAAACCTTCCAATATTTCTAGGTAAACATTGACAACATTATGTAAAATATAAAAAGAATACAATTGGCACTCTTACAGTTTCCACGCAAATCTGCCCCTCTAGTAAAAGTAAATTCAACCTATATGAATCATAAAGTATGACCGCGTCAACCTTGTTGCACCGGCTAGTCCTGTCCATAGAGCTAGGTACAGTACAAACTGGTACCGGAAAGGTTGACCCGGCTCGGAAATGCAAATGTACTACGGCTGCCCGTGACTCTTACAGTTTCTTGCCTATAGCTGCATGCACTTATTCTAGATTAAGGATATAATTAACTTATTCCATATTTTTGCCAAAAACTCTAGAAACCTATGATACAAATACTAATTTACTCATTTTTTTGTATACATTCCTCTAACAACCCCAACCCTTTAAAGGGACTGTAAGCGTAACATTAAAAGTGTTTGATTTTTATAATCTCTCTATTACTTCTTATGAGCAAGAAATGCGCAAGTCACTTTTTCAGAGAAACCGCAAATAAAAATAAACAGTTTAAAGAAACAAAAACATTGATATCAAATTCATCCCTGACCAGTCCAAGCTTTTAAAAATATCGTTGTAAAACTAGCCATCAGGGTATACAGGGTTATCTTGAAATTACGCTTACAGTCCCTTTTAAACTGTTTCCTTCTATCCTGGTACAGGGTGTTCCAAGAAACATGACAGTTGGTAAATAGTTTGAATGTCGTCTTTCATACAATGTATTAGAAATTAAAGGCTGTTTGCAATTTATTTCGTTTAAAAAATCTTTTGCTCAAATATATTTTACTTTGAAATTAATTTTACTATAATATGACTGCCATATAATGTTTTTATTATTGTCTTTGGTATTAAAGACATTCTAAACTATTTACCAACTGTAATGTTTCGTGGGACACCCTGTATAACTAGGTTCATCCAAACGCGAAAACGGTGTTCAAAGGAGTCAACCCTCAGCTGGACTCCTACTCTGCCTTCTACGACAACCAAAAGCTGTCGAAAACTATCTTGGACGAACTGATTAGGAAGGAAGGAGTCTCCGACCTCTACATCTGTGGAATAGCAACTGATGTGTGTGTTGGTAGGTTTGCACGTCAAACAAAAGAGTGTCCCAATAAACATGGAAATTAAGAGACGACTCAAGAAGATCGTCTTCAATTACAAAGAGTTATTTAAAAAAAGATTGTCTTATGAGCTTCTGAAAATGTGGTCTGCCTTCTTTATATCTCCAAAATTGAAGACGATATTAAACATTTGAAAGTATTCGCTGTTATTCAAAAGGTTAGAATCAGGACAGATTTATTAATATCTCCGTCAATGTTGAAGATATAAACATAGTAAACCTCATTTTGGAATTTCTAAGAATGATATTTTTAATAATAAACTGTTTTACTTGAAATACTACAAAAATTTTGTTCAAAGACGATATTATCATCGTCACATAATTCCCATTTTTATTGGGACACCCTGTACTTAAAATAAATTGCACCTAAAAATGAAACCTTTTTATGTTAAAACTATAACTCCTCTTATTGAAGAGCTTTTGAGATAAACCAAAATATTTTGAATTTCTAGTATGTAACCAGACAAAGGAATTGAATCTTTGCCACAAACTCAAATTTTCTAATCCCTTTATCTTTGTAACCCATTGTTGTAAATTTGAGATATTTTAAACCACGAATGAAGTTTTAAATGTCAAAGGTTTGAATATCAGGTTGCAAATATATAGGAATTAGAATATTTGAAGAGGCAACGACTCAATTCGATTGCTTAAAATATTAAAAATATTATTTTTCACCCCCCCCCCACAAAAAAAGCTTAACAACTCTCTGCTTTTGCTGAGCCTTGTGAAAGATTAGTCTTGAATATAAATATAGATTTAAATAAAACAATTAATGTCATAATCCATACTAAGACCACTTTAGAAATTAGAACTAGGGTTCCCAGCGAACAAAAACGTTCTCGAATAAATGCGAAAATAACTCGATAATTTTCGTTTGTATTTCGCCAAATTTCGCATTTTTTCGCGAAAATGATTAAGCGAATAAATGTGAAAACGATGTGATGTAATAATTAATTGCGCAAAATAACATGTGAAATTCTTTGTTCTTAGAGCTCAGTAGAAGTTTTATCATATCATAATTAATAATTTCTCTTTCGTATTTTTTTCGCCAAATTTTCGCATTTTGTCCTCGAAATTTTTGCATTTGTTTTTTCCCCGAAACAGATTGAAGCAAAATTTCGCGAAAAAAGAGAAATTTTTCGCTTTTTTTCGAGCGAAGGAAATGCGAACTGTTCGGCAAAAAATTCGAAATTATCGCGAAACGATTTATTCTTTTCTCTGGAAACCCTTAGTTAAAACTAATCAAATCAAGTAAGTATTTCAATTATGTAAAGTGGCAAACAAGAATTTTTAGAAATGGTTACTTAAATATTTCCATTGCAATAGATTTACACAAAAAAATTTTTATTTCTTATTTACTATTTACTATCTGGTTTTCCCAGGTTTATATTTTCATTCACATAGTCATAGTCACATTTTCATTCATAGTAACTCCTGTTTACCTGGGCTTGGTATTAAATTATGATTTTATGATTATTTTTCTCATAAACGCTATTAATCAAAAAGATAAATATGAACAAACACGAATTAATCAAATCAAAAATAAGATAAGATTTTTTAATTGTGGATTGACAATTCTTCTTAGGGAGATGAATACATAACGTTGTTAGTTTTTCGAATTTCTAGCCTATGTCACCCCGAAGAGGCCCCCAAGGTACCCATGGGTTTCCTCAAAAGATTTTAACCAATTCATATATATATATCTATATTTGAAGGAATAAGTTCAAATTATGAATTTTGATATTATTGAATAGCAAGGAAAAATCCAAAGGATTTCAGTTTTTGCCACAAACTCTGATTTTATAAACCTTATATCTTTGCAAACCCAATGTTTAGACCTTGGATATTTCAAACTATAAATTCTGTTAGATCCAATAAGCTCAGTTTGAGATTAGGTTCCAGAGAAATAGAGATTTTAAAAAGCGAGTTTGTCGCAAAGACTTAATTTATTGTGCTCAGAATTCAAGTATGCTTCATTAATTTTGCAATGTCATTATTTCAAAAATTTACAAATGCTGATCTACTACTTCTGTATTGTTTTTTTTCTCAAAGTAAATTAGAGATTTGTTAATTCTGAACTGTTTCCCATTCAATAGAAAGTTTTAGACCATCCAGCCTGTACATGTACAGGGTTAAACAAGAGCTAATTATTAAAACTTCTTGTAAAAAAACTAAAAGTTTTGTTTATTATTATTTGCACTAAGATCCTTCAAGCTTGTAATTAGCAAAGTTATAATTAAGTTTTAAGTTTCAGAAATCCCTATCTATTTTACTACAGTGATATCGAACTTAACATGTTTGGACTTAGGACCTTTCTGAGAGACATTTAAAGATTATCAAACTGCAGCGCCCAACTCTAAATTCAAAAATGCCATGACGACTGTTCATAGTTTATCGAGATAAATCAGCAATTTAAAAACTCTTCAGCATTGCTTTTTTTACTTTTCTTTTTATAATTCTATAATTACTTAAAGCGCGCGGAGAGGTCACCTCAAGGGTCCAATTTTGTCAGTGTGCCAAGAAATTTTCCATTATCAACATTTTAGGTGCAAAGGTTAATTTAATTTAGGACGTTTTAGGGAATTATGCTTCTTGTTTGGATTTCTCAGCTGTAGTTTATAGGGTGTCCAACAAAACACAACAATTGGTGAATAGTTTTAAATGTCTTCCTCCAAAAGTTGATTGATACCAAAGAGAATAATTAAAATATTTGACGGCAGTCAAATTATAATAGTAAAATATATCTTAGTTTAAGAATTTTAAACGAAATAAACTGCAAAAAGTGTTTAAAATCTAGTCGAGTATGTGGAAGAAGACATTCAAAACTCTTCACCAACTGTTATGTTTCGTGGGACACCCTGTAGAAAAAACATTGAAAAAAAATAAGTTTTGCGCATTGAGCAGGCTTTCGTGATTGTTATTCTGCAGCAAAATTAAAGAAAAACAGACCGGACATTAATGGGAATAAACAGGCCGGACATTAATGGGAATAAACAAAAGTAAAGTTTACATTTTTTAAATATCTAATTATGTGTTTGCCACAGGTGGGAACTTTTGGGTCGTATTAATCTTGAACGCTTAGTCTCGAAATTATCCAATGAGTTAAACTTTTGAATTTGAGTAATGCTCATAGATAAAGATAGATAAGACGACATTTTTCATCTTGAAAGATATAAATGTACAGAGATGTTTTAAAGATATTCCTATTATATAGATTAACTAGGTCGGTTGTGAATATTGGCTGTTCTTATGCTATTGAGTACTTGTGGTGTACATGAGTTCTGTAAAAAGAAATTTAAGTTAGTTTAGTCCTTCTCATGTCCTTCTTCAGTTCTCGTCAATATGATATATTGCTCAGTGAAATAATTTGATATTCTAAAAATAAAATTCACTCCTGAGTGGTTTAATAATTATGAAATCCATTAAGACACCAAACCACCCCGCTTATCATCGAAGTACACTTTGACCCCTAGAAGTATGAGTTCGCGGACTGTACAATTCTTGGTAATTTTGCGTACATAAGCTATCTATGTTTATTTATTTATCTATGGTAATGCTTGATCCCTCAATTAAAGATAACAATGCAGGGTATAACTATACCACGGGATATCTAAGAGGAAAAAAATAAATTCGTCTGCATTGCTTGATCTTTTTTACAATGAAGTAAAACATTTAGTAAAATGTTTTCTTTGTTATCAAAATGTTTACAACAAAATTATCCTTTATTTTTAAAGAGTAAATATTTATTGTATGATTATAGTTGGTGGATGTTTAAACAGTTGGTAAAGTTGGAGAGTTTAATTTTCAATTGTGTAGTTTTCATGCTGGTTCTACTGTCAGGGGAACATCTATAAAATTTTATATATACTTTGGTTGTCTGTATGTCAGGCCGTCTGTATCCAATCAACGTCAAAACGGCTGAACCGATCGGGCCAAAGTTTTGTGTGGACCTCGCGTGACCCCAGCGAAGGTGTATGAATGATCAAAATTTCAAAACAATTTTTATTTTTGTTAAATTTTGAAAATGCTCAAAAAATTATTATGAAATAATGACTTTTGATAATTTATTCCCGAGGACCGAATCACCCAATTAAATACATTTTAATACAACGAAGAATGAAGACGTACAGTTTAACCTGAACCTGTGCGAATTGTTTGTATTTTGATCCTAAATCTCTGCACCCTACCGATGAGCTTACGTTTGTCTTCTATTCAAATTTTAAATTTGCTATAAAAGAAATGTCGTTGAAATTTTAAGAACAAATGCTGTTTTAAATTTAGGAAAATCTTCGCATATAAAAACAAGAAACAAAAGCATTTTCAAAATTTTTAATTTATCCAAATCTATTTTATAACACATTTTTTCCTTTTAACTAAATTCTAACTAAAGTTAGAACTTTGTTTAGTAAACCTTAGGAATAGAATCAAGCATTGATCTATACCTGTTGACCACTTTCACAAGAGTTGATAATAAAAAATATAAACAACAATTTATTTGAAATGATGAGGGTAACATTTGCCTTTGTAGAATTCGATAAAATCAACCATGCAGTAATAGGAGATTTTTTTTATTTTCAAGACAATGCAAGTTTTTTCCTTTTCTAGTTGCTAGTTTCACTTAAAGTACGTTGACTGCAGTTTTAGCAATGTAAAATGTATATTTTATGTTTAACAAGAATGTGCATTCAATTAAAAAAATAATGTAGGTTTGATTTAAAACTCTGAAAAAAAAGATTAATCACCTTTACCAATACATATAATACAATAATACTCTGATATAAAAACGACTGAATTGAAAAGTAAATCTAGAAAAGTTTTCAATAAAATATTTCCATTTAAATTCTATGGCAAAAGTTTTTAGATTTATCTAATACAATTTCCTATTTCAGCTTCAACTGCTTTCCATGCTCTGGAGTTAGGCTTCAGAACTGCTCTCGTGTCCGATGCTTCCAGGGGTATCAAGTAAGTTCCAACCCAAGGGTATAAAGTAAGTTCCAAGGGTATTAAGCAATTAATGAGATTTAGGTNATCAAGTAATTGTTCCAAAGGTAATAAATAAGTTCCAGGGATATCAAGTAAGTTCCAGAGATATCAAGTAATTGTTCCAAAGGTAATAAATAAGTTCCAGGGATATCAAGTAATTGTTCCAAAGGTAATAAATAAGTTCCAGGGATATCAAGTAATTGTTCCAAAGGTAATAAATAAGTTCCAGGGATATCAAGTAATTGTTCCAAAGGTAATAAATAAGTTCCAGGAATATCAAGTAAGTTCCAGAGATATCAAGTAATTGTTCCAAGGGTAACAAATAAGTTCCAGGGATATCAAGTAATTGTTCCAAAGGTAATAAATAAGTTCCAGGGATATCAAGTAATTGTTCCAAAGGTAATGAATAAGTTCCAAGGGTATTAAGTAAGTTTCAATCAAAATGTTTAAAAATTGATCATTTTCCTTTAAATCGAGGATTTTGTCAACTAAACCTTTGGCATCTAAAATCAAATTCAATATTTTTGTTTTCTTGTCATTCTGATTTTTGGTTTTGTGGTTCAACCCTTGAGTTTTACCAAAATATAATAAATATTGGATGTTGAATTAAATCCAAATCATGTTCATTAAAGTATTATTTATTTAAAACCGCCATTTTTCCGAATATATTAACACTTTTTTAATTAGTCACTGTTTTCAGGATTTACCCAACTTCCTAATTGGCTGTCAAAATGGCCAAAATAAATATTGATCCCAACTTGTTGTGTTGACCAACCAGATTAAAAAATTATGCTTCAATAGTTCTGAAAAATTCTACAAATATTATTTAAAAAAATCTAATTAAGATGTTCTTTGAACGTCAGAATTTTGACGAAATAAACCAATTAAAGATAACTGGCAACTGCGTATCCAGAGGTTAATATTTAGATGAAATGCGCGCATTGATTAATAAATATAATTAACTTTCATATGATTTCTTTTATTATCATTTTCGGAGATAATGTGTATACATCAGTTAATCGTTACTGCTCCACTAGTAGGGCCTCTTATATTGAAAAAACTAATGAAATTTTTTGATTAAAATACGTATTAAACTGAATATTTGATTTTTAGGATTAACTTTTATAATAATTTATATGTAGTTTGGAGAATATAAATGCTGCGTATAACAGGATAAAAGAAGAACACGGGGTTATTGTCAATTCAACAGAGGTAACACAATTTTAGGAATTTGAAAAACATTATTTAGGTTTTTTTTATAAATTAATTTGGAAAGTTTGCTTCATCTGTTCAAGGTGATTTTTCAGACCAGTTGACGTTGATTAGATATTTGTAGCATGATGTCAGGAGCGTTTTCATGAAGGCTTTTGTTGTCACTGCTGCCTTAAAAAGTCGAAAATTATTTCCAACTTGATCCATCAAAGTGTGTCTTAATAGAGGCTTACGAGGCGACCAAAGTTAAAGAAAGACATGAAATGAATCTAAAAAGGTCGTGTTTTTTACTGGTTTAATTCACATTTAAGCCTGATAATCAGTAACATTCCAGGACTCTGAAGCTTTAATAGAAAGACACAGATACTTGCCATTTTCAGATCTTGAGCTTTACTTTTTTTTCACTTTAAAATTATACATCAAACTTCACAAACTAGAGGCCTTTCTTTTGTGGGTTGAACAGTTAAAGAATAGTCTGGTCATCAGTCTAAATTCCAAAACTAAAGAACGAAAAGTTTTGGCTTACACTTTAAGTTTCAGCTTAAATGCTGCTCGTGACTTAAAAGAATTGAGTTTTTTGCCACAAAATCAAATTTTCTAATCCAAATATATTTTTGCAACCAGAAGGTGTAAATCTTTGATATTTCAAACTTAGAATATACAACATTGTGTTGGTTAAAAAAATTAGGGCTTGTGGCAAAACTCAATTCCTTTAACCTTAATTTTAAGCTAAATCTTAAGTATTTAATTTATGGTAGGCGAAAATAAAAATACAATGAAGACGACGTTCGACTCCAATTTTGATTTGTATCAAACCGTTAAACAACAAGGATACACATAAACATTAAAGTCAAGAGAAACTGTCAATAAAAAAGCTTCTCTTTGATTACTTGTAATTCGAAATAAGCTTGTTAACAATCAAAACTTAATTTTAAAAAGTCGTCTTCATTGTATTAATATTATTGCCTACCAATGTACCAGAATCTACATCTTATTCAGCTTTTCTATCAATTAATCATGATTTTCTGGAAAATATTGCAGCGCTTGCGTATTTGTTTTGTTGTTGTTGAGCATGCCTACGTTGGTCAACCATAACTTTTTTCAATTAATCTGGTTTCCAGGTTTAGAAGTTAAATATTGAAAAAAGCTAACTAATACCAGATTAACTCGGCGATTAGAGAGGGACTGAAAATTATTTAAATTGATTTGGTTGGCTCAGCTCGGATATTTGAATGTACACTGTTAGTTCGTTTCATTTAAATATTCCAAGCTTCACTGTAGTTTCAGTAGAAGTAAATATTTACATTTACTGTTTAGCGCCGATTTAAGGCTTCATCTCTAATTGGATGATGAATAGATAGAAAGATAGATGTTACCGCCAAACAATTTCTATTGGTTCAGAATAGACACCAAACACATGACCTGAACCCTGATTGGATCAGGCGCTAATAGAATCGGCATACAAGTGTGTTTGAAACTATTTTTAAAATTGCGGGATCTCTCCTTCTTTATGGATATGTTTAGGAATATTTAAACATATTTTCAGAATTGAATTTACCCAAAATGAAATTGAAACCCTTAGAACCAAGAAAATACATTATGTTCCCACGAGGCTCTGAATCCTTTATTTCCTCACAAAATATATATTCAAAATACACAAATTCAATACATAAACTCTGACTCCCAATAAAGATAGTATTTTCCGATAATATATTTAATACAACAAAACAAACAATATAAAATGCTTTTTCATAATTAAAATAGACTCCCCGATTCAATTATTGTTCCAATAGTATACAAAATAATCAGTCAAAGAAATGTAACCTTCTTTTTATTAAAGTCATAGATTAATTAACAATAACAGATAGAACACTAGATGTCGTCTTTTCAAGATTTGGGGGTTTTTCGTTCACAATAGGCAGAAGCCCAAAAGAGTTATGCGCATGCGGCGTTAAATTACAAGACAGGGGAGAGCAAACGCGTAACTCTTTTGGGCTTCTGTGAACGAAAAACCCCTAAATTTTGTAAAGACGACATCTATTGTTAATTAATCTATGATCAAATTAATCAAAACATATCATTGAATCTCAAGTTAAGTATATAAGACAATATAAATTGATTTAAAATTGAAAATCACAAAAAGAGCCAACCAAAGATTTTATTCTTATAGAAAATAAATAAACCTGAACCCCATTGCTCTGATAAGAAATTAAGTCTTTAAAACAAAATCAAACTTTGCAATCAGATGGTTTAGACATTTTATATTTCAAATTTAGATTATTTTATGTCACAGAGTTTGAAGTATGAAATATTTCAGGTCTGTCATATTGGGTTGCAAAAATTAGAAAAACCAGAGTTTGTTCCAAATAATTCCTGTGAAAAGAAATATTATATTTTTTTATGGGAGGACACATTTTCGAATAAATAAGAATATTTCACACGCCATTTGTAATTTATAGCTAACCCGCCTCATTATTATTTTTTGGGGATTTTCGAAACTTTTACGAAAATCTAAATTTTATTGGAGATGCATTTTTGAAACTCTAAATATCCATAAACCCTCCCTGTGCCGGGGTTATGTGATTTGCCTTTAACAATTTTGGACCAGATCGGTTCAGCCGTTTTGACGTTTATTGGATACAAACAAAAAACAGAAAAGCTAAAAGTATTTTTAAAGATTGTTCATCGATAATGGCACTTTGTGTAAACGTCAGGTTTCACTTAACTTAACGTTGAGGATATGTTTAAGGTTAAAGCAATGGTCCAAGGAAGAGACCGCAGACCAGAGCTTGGATACAAGCTAGCTTTGGAGTGCAGGTAAATCTTTTATCAAATATAAGAAAGATTTGTAAATATTAAAAACTTGACCATTTTATGACCATTTCTTTCTTTGGACCTTTGTTCGAATATCTCGGAAAGGGAAGAATCTTTAGCTCTGTTATTATTTAGAAATATTCTGTTAATTGAAAAGTTTTATTTTGTTCCATGTATGTTTATACATAAGTCTAGAGATGGACGCGTTCGGCTTTTTTCATTTCGTTCGTTCATCGTTCGTTAACGACCCATTTCGTCCGTTTTTTCAACCATTAAAAAAAATTGAATTCATTCGTACTCAAAATTATCGGTCCTTTGCCATCTATTTTGTTCGTTTTCTTAATATACGATCGTTTAGTAAAATAGTCCGTTCAGTAAAATGGTTCGTTCAGTAAAACCGTTCATTCAATACAATCGTTCGATCAGTTAAAAAAACGATTTTTTTTCAAAAGATTGTTCGAAACAATTGTTCTTCTAGTAAAAAAATATCGGTTTTTTTAAGTTGGGTAAAAAAATCGTTCGTTTAGTAAAATAAAATCGTTTTTTGAAGTTCGTTCGAACGATTTTAAACCGTTCGTTTTTTATTTTAATCCTTCGTTTTTAAAAACGATAATTTTTTCATTTCCCTGAACGATCAATGTTGTGCATTCATCGTTCGTTTCTTTTCTTTACGACACCCTTTTCATAAAAAATATTGTTCGTTCAAAAAAAAACGATGGATGCCCATCTCTATACAGGACATACACAAAATACAAAACATCAAAAAGCCATTTTTTCAAATACCGATTGAAAAAAGAGTATTTTAATTTTGTTGGTGGTTAATTTTGAAACTTTGATCATGTGAGGTTCCACACAAAATTTGGGCTCGATTGGTGCAGTCGTTTTATAATGTTTATTGGATACAAACAAACAGAAAGACGTACAAGTTCAGTACATATCTAGATTATAGCATAAAAATTATTTGCTTAATAGCTACATATAATAAACACAAGATTTCTTGAATATCTTTTTCATATTTCACAAGTTTATGGGTTTCGCTGTATTTCTAGGAAAAACATCACTTATCCCGCTAAGAATAAGAACAGCAAGTACAATAAGCAGGTGATATAAAGAAAACAGTTTTAACGATTCTATAGGTTCTCTGCAAATTCAATCAAGAAATTCTAAATACGAAACCACAGCGGATTTCAGTTAAGAACTTGATCCGTGAAACGGCCTTTTATTGTGTTTTTTTTTATTGGTCCGACCTTAGGGACAATCCTTAGGATCCATTTAATTTTGATGCGGATCCGTATCCAGATCATGAACAGCCTTTTTTACCGATTTACTGATTTTTTTTTAACAGATGAGGAAATTAAAAATAATATTTTCTCTTTTTTTTCGCTTACTTTTATGCTAAAACTTGACAAACCTGATTGGATTAAGAACATCTTTGATATTTTTTTTTGCAGTTTTTTGTTGATATTATGACTCTTTGATCCAGATCCGTGGATCCGCATATTTTTTCGGATCCGGAAGCCGATCCAATGGATCCGAACCTTTGACTGCTTGAAAGAATGATACAGATAAATGCAATACAAAAGTTTCGATCTCTGTTAGTTCAGGAAAAGCAAAAAAAAACTCCATGAAAGAAAGATATAATTTTACCAACTTTTGATTTTTTTCGGCCTTTCTTATCTGAGAGAGGCAAGGCATTATTCTATTAAATTCACAAAGAAATTAAGCCTTTGTCACAAACTTAGATATTTTAAATCCCAATATCTTTGTGACCCAATCTCGCAGATCTTAATTATTTCAAACCATAAATTATATTAGATTAGATTATCTAATGATTGGCGTTATCAGGCTGCAAAGTTATTGGGCTTAGAAAATTTGAGATTGTTGCAAAGACTCGATTTATTTTCTGCAATTTTTCCCTTTTTTAATTGATAAGAAAATATATATTTTTACGTTTACAATTACAAATAATTAATTCATTTCTCTATCTTTGTATTTCTATATAATGTTTAGATAACTAACAATGATGGGAATATGAATGGGAATGAAACCATATCTAACCCCCCTCAGGTAACTTTCTTAAAGGAACTGTAAGCGTAATTTCAAGTGACCCTCAAGGCAATGCCCGATTTATGATGGTAACCATGATTTCAAATGTGGATGATACCGTTGTTTTATATTTGTAGTTTACCTAGTTTAATAATTTTAGATTTGTAGTTTACCTAGTTTACTAATTTTAGATTTGTAGTTTACCTAGTTTACTAATTTTAGATTTGTAGTTTACCTACTTTACTAATTTTAGATTTGTAGTTTACCTAGTTTACTGATTTTGGATTGTAGTTTACCTAGTTTACTGATTTTAACGCTCACATATGTTTATCAAACATATGATAGTATTGATAGGAAAATTTAAACAAAGTTTTAAAAAAATTCAAAAACATGTTTGTGTTTTTTATAGTTTGTTAAACACATTTAATGATAGACTAACTTATTTTTTCAGTAATGAGATATTGAGAAAAGGTTTGGATTAACTGATTGTAAATATGATATTTTTAATGAATTAATTAAGTAATAAAATCACTCAATAAGTAGATTCTAAGTAAACTAAATATGTTCTTATTAAATTAGTTCTCGTAAAGGGAGTGTTCGCGAAAAATTTACGAATGAATCGATTTGAGTTCGACATTTATAGGTTATATTATCTGAATGATTAGTTTTAAATTTAATTGAAATACTAAGGACTTGAGTAGAATAATGCAAATATATGAATTTATATGGCCGCCGCCGCACTTTGGTATATAGACCATAGATAAATTAATAAACATAGATTGCTTATGTACGCAAAATCACCAAGAATTGTACAGTCCGCGAACTCATACTTCTAGGGGTCAAAGTGTACTTCGATGATAAGCGGGGTGGTTTGGTGTTTTAATGGATTTCATAATAGAGTGTAAAATAACTCCGGGAAACTAAACTATTTGAACAACAATATTTCACTGAGCAATATATCATATTGACGAGAACTGAAGAAGGACATGAGAAGGTATATACTAACTTAAATTTCTCTCTACAGAACTCATGTACACCACAAGTACTCACTGACATAAGAACAGCCAATGTTCACAACCAACCTAGTTAATCTATATAATAGGAATATCTTTATAACATCTCTGTACATTCATATCTTTCAAGATGAAAAATGTCGTCTTATGTGCAATCTATCTTTATCTATGTATAAGACGTGTTAAACCATTTTCTCTGTTTGGACGCAACAGATAGAAGTAAAATTAGAAGCTTTCAATTTCGAATTCAATTCAATATCAACCTTTACCCTTTTTCATTTTTCGCGAACACTCCCCTGAGAGGATTTAATATAAGATAAAACCATATATATATACACTTCTTAAAAAATTTCCTTAACCCTATTCTTGCAAGAGTGGGGCGTTGATTTGACCCCCCTGTAGTTTTTTTACATTTTCTGACTTTTCCTAAATACCCTTTAAGGTCTAAAACCGGGATTTTTTACTAACTGCCAGTCCTCATGCACACTGCCTGAATGACTACTTTTTTCTGTAACAAACTAAATATTCGTTTTGACCCAATATCAGTAGTCAGATTTTGATAATTTTAGACTGTTTGAAAGGAAACGGATTGCACAAGTTGTGTGAAAAGAAATTTTTGCAAATTATTTGCATACAACCCGTCAAAATGAATTTACACATTTTTGTTTTTATGAATTACACTTCAGGTTATTTAAAAAATTTTCATTTTTTTGCACATTTGAAATGGCATGGTCAAGAGCTTTCCAAAAATGTGTATTTTATAATTTTTTGGACTGATTTTTTTTGAAAACATTTTTACTATATAACTGAATTTTGCAACAAAAATTTGCAATTTTTGCAAATTTTCAATTTTTGCAGATTTGAAAAGTAGAGCATAAGAGCTTTCAAATGCTGTATTATTTGTTAAATTTGGACATCAAACATGTGATTTAGAGGTGGAGGGTGGGGGGTCAAATTGATCCCCCCTCCCCCGAGTATCCTAGTTTTCAAGGACCCCAGCAGGGATAGGGTTAAGACCTAAAAATCAAATTATTAAATGATTTAAAGAACAGATTAAAGCTTTTGCATGAAATTTGTGATAATTTTACTTACAAAAAAATGAATTCTTTTCACAAACTGCTATTTTCGAATCCCTATATCTTTGCAACCTCTTGGTGTACGCCTTTTATATTTGAAACTTAGATGATTTGATATAACGGAATGCATGGTTTGAAATTTCTAAAACCTACGCCATTGGGTTGCAAAGATAGGAACTAGACAATCAGAGTTTGTGGCAAAGACTCAACTCCTTTGTAATAAAATAATTTTTCAATGAGTTTTATACTATTTCACGTAAATTTCCGTATTTGCGAAAATAAATAAATAGCCATTAATATGCAGGAACAGTTTTAAAAAGCTCCCTATCATTATTTAATTAAAAAAAACTAAATATCTGCAACATTCCATTATCAGAAGTGAAGTGAAGAATACGACATTTGATGAATTCTTTCGATGTATGGCTTATTTAAAGTTTAACTGTATTAGTATACTAGATTAAAGGAATTGAGTTTTTGTAACAAATTCAATTTTTTTAATTCCTATTTTTTCGCAACCTGATGGTTTAAACCTTCGATATTTCCAACTTAGATTTTTTAATTTAAGAGAATTCATAGTTTGAAATTTCTAAATTCCACAACATTGGACTGCAAAAAATAAAGGAATTAGAAAATCTGAGTTTGTGGCAAGGACTCAATTCTTTTAGCTTCGGTGCTCCAACAATTTTGTTAGATACAAATTTGACATTTCTTAAGAGTGTACCTCTTGCTTAAAGAAATAAAATTTTTAGTTTTATAATGAAAATGGTTTCAAAGATAATTAATTTTATGAAATCTTTATTCTAAAGTGCAAGCTTTCGTACTTTATATAAACTAAATGGAAAGAAAGAATAAAAAGAAAATTTAAGAACAAGTTCAGATTTTTACATTTTATGCTAAAGGGACTCCCGAGGCAACTTTAAGGGACTTCTCCCATTTACAACAATACCATTCAAACCTTTCCCATTTACAACAATACCATTCAACCTTTCCCATTTACAACAATACCATTCAACGATTCCCATTTACAACAATACCATTCAACCTTTCCCATTCACAACAATACCATTCAACCTTTCCCATTCACAGTAGTACCATTCAACCTTTCCCATTCACAACAGTACCATTTAACCTTTCCCATTCACAACAATACCATTCAAACCTTTCCCATTCACAACAGTACCATTCAAACCTTTATCTTTATTTAGGAAAATATTCTGTTTTTCTGATATAAACGGGATAAATTTGGATAATTTTCTTCTTCTGTTTCCAACTGGAATTCCGTTCCGCGAAATTGCGCACAACTCTCCGAAATTGCGCGGAAATTACAGGGCCCGTAATTGCGCGCAAGTAAAATCCACAAGTTTCCTTTATAAGAACAAAATCTTTTTGTAGAGACGAGTGTTTAAAAGGTACCGGTGTGAATTGTGATGCGGACATTTCCCTCTTTAAATGAAACTTTAACATTTTTATTTTTGGAACTCTTTTTTTTGTTACAAAAACTAAAAGAATTCTTATTTTTAGCTTGTTCGAGCCTAAACAGCTAGATCCGAGAGTAGACTGTAGACTGTAGACTGTAGACTGTAGACTGTAGATTAGTTGATGGAACAGAATCAATAGATTTGTATTATTATTCAATCTTAAGTTCACAAGTCACTTAACAACCTCTTCTTGTACAGTCGTAAATATCATTACAATGAAGACGACTTTCAATTATAAATTCGATTTATACCAAGCTTTTAAACAGCATGGTTACACAACATGGAAACAAAGAGATGCTGTCAATTAACAATTTCTCTATGTTTGCTTGTAAACTTGTTATTTGCTAAAAGATTGTTAGAATTTAAAACCTAAATAGAAAAGTCGTCTTCATTGTATTGATATAAACGCCGACCACTGTACCTATATCGATGTAAAGTGCAACGTTATAGAAAACTTTAATATTTTACACTCTCGCTTTAATAATTGTAATTTTTCAATGAGTAAATTTAGTAAATGTATATTATGCTTGAATTTATCACTCGCCTAGTGCAGTTTACACCTATTTCAAATATTGATTATCTGATGAATTCATAATTTAGAATATGCTAGCTAAAGTGCCCAGCGTTGCCCGTGAAATTTGAAAAAAGTCAAATAAAAAAATCGATTTTTTAACCTCTGCATACCCATGAGTTTCCTAAAAAATTTGAAAGATACTGAACCCTCACCACGAATTTCAATTTTCTAGTCTCTACGACTTTGCAGCCTGCTGGTGTAACCTTTTGTATTTTAAGATATGAGTTCTAGAAAAGTACACATTGTGTTAAAACCTATTTTTGTCAAGCATTTTTGGGTGTTTTGTCATACTTCACCTCAAAACATAAGTATTTTACAAATAAATAAAAAAATTTCTTTAAAATTTCTTTTAAAATTAAGGTTTTCAATTAAACTCTTATTTAACTATAATTTTCCAATTTGAAGTTAGATAAAAGAAATTTGAAAAATTTAGTTTTAATTTTGTTCAAAATTAAAAAATTTCTGTCTTCGAGCAGAAGTAGAGAAAAAATAACTAAATATGAAGAAATGTATGTTTTTAAAATCAATGTAATGTTGCGTACGTCATTTATGTATTAATTTAAAAACTGTATATTTGAATTGCTCCTCCGTAATAAATGTAATGTATAAGTGTATTACATATATTAACTTCACATTGTACATGTTTTGAGAGCGGGCGCATATTCAGACCGGGGTTAATATAATAGATATTTCATAATGTGTTTTTTATATATACACGTACGTTGTACTTTAAACGACAATTATGGCTCTCCCATGTAAAATCCCTGAAACATCGAAAGCAGAGACACCTAGAGGTCAAATAAACGTCTACATTGTATGTAAATATATATATACTAGCCTTAGAGGGCGCTTCGCGCCCATCTTCTAAATTAATTGTGAACATGTTCTCTTTGTGTACATCGTAAAACAAAACAAAAATAAATATATATATATATATATATATGTAAAATGTTATGAAATTTTAACTTCATACTAATGCTTCGAATTGAACTCGTCATTTAAAGGTTGTAAGATCTGAATAGTTAATTTCAAATTTAATTGAATTATTTAAGATCTAAGTGGAATAATGCAACTCTGTTGATTTGTATGGGTCCTACGCTCTTGGGTTCCTTGGGTATAAGACGTTTTTAACCATTTTCTCCTTATATCTATAAAGGAGACAACGGAGAAAAGTTAAATTAGTAGCGATCAATAGCGAATTCAATTCGATATCAGCCTATACCCCATTTCAGTTTTTGTGAACACTCCCATAAAGGTAGAAAGACTTTTTTTTGCATTGATACTTAAAAGACAAGAGAAAAAGGAAAACCAAAATTATGAAAAAACAAAATGGAAAATGGAGTATATCTCACTTAAAGTACGGCCTGCAGTTAAGTGCGCTGAACCATGTACATTGTACATTACGTTAAATCTACATCTACCAATATTTCCGCATATTTGAAAACCTTCTAATCTTTATGGAGGGAGTGACAGCAATTATCAAAAATGTCAAAAATAGGAATTTCCAAGATACCCAGGCATTTGGGAAATTTCTAAGATATAAAAAATGCACAACCATCAAATTCCAACAAGAATTTTTGAAATTTCGGGAATTTCCCAAATGCCTTGCGGTATCTGGGAAATTTCCCAAAAGCCTGGGTATCTTGGGAAATTTTCCAAATGCCTAGGTTTTTGGAAAATTCTCCAAATATCCAGTCATTTGAGAAATTAGCAAAATCTTAAAAATACCACCCTCAAATTCTTATGGGAATTTAGAAATTTGTGGAATTTTCCTAATACCAGGGTCAGTTCACAAATGCCTGAGTATCTGGGAAATTTGCCAATGGCTGGATCTTTGGTAAATTCCTCAGATTCCCGAAATTCCTATGGGAAGCTGATGTTGGTGTACTTTAGAAATTTCCCAAATATTTGGGTATCTGGGAAATATCCCAAATGCCTAACTTTTTAGAAAACACCCAAAATCTCCAGTCATTTGAAAAATTTCCAAAATCTTAAAACATACTAACCTCAAATTCCTATAGGAATTTGGGAAATTTAGGGAATTTCTCAAATACCTCCGGGTATCTGGGAAATTTTCTGAAATTCTTGTTGTAATCTGATGGTGGTGTATTTAAAATATTTAGAAATTTCCCAGATACCCAAGTATTTGAGAAATCTTAAACCCAGCGGTTGAAAGAAACAAAATTATTTCAAATCTTAAACCCGCAGTATTATAAGAAAAACTTTTTTCCATTGATTGAAAGCAAACATTTGTTGAACATCTTAAAACCAGTGGTTGAAAAAAAAGTTGCATAAAAAAATAAAACGAGTTGTTAAAAGAAAAAGTCGCTGAAAAAGATTAAAACCAGTGCAAGTGGTTGAAAGCAAATACATTATTTCAAATCTTAAACCCAGCAGTATTTTTAAAAAAAACTTTGTTCCATTGATTTATAGGAAAAAGTTGTTGAAAATCTGAAACCCAGCGGTTAAAAACAAAAAACTATCTCAGCGGTTGAACTAATTAAAAAGTTTTAATAAGTGGATAAAAATGTAAACGAAAATAGTACAAATTTAGCGGTTGAACAAAGCTTAATTTTTAGAAAAAAGTAGCATTTCTTATTCTAGACTGCTATTCTAAACCGCTAAATCTTAATCGCTCATTCAACTGCTCCCGCTGAGATTTTGCTACAAAGTATATATCATTCCATTATTCTTTACGTTTAAAATTTTAATTTTACAGATTTATTTTCGTCTTAAAATTCTCCGTTTAATCAGGAAAGGTAAAACTTTTTTCATTAAAACTCAAGGAAACAATATTTTTATAGAATTTCAGATTTAAACTAATTCAATATTTCTCATTTTCTCGCTAAAGTAAAAGAATTTAGTTATTAAGTCTTTGATAAATTAAAAAAAGGAAAAAACTAAATGTTCTTCCAACAGAAAAGAAAGATAAGCTATACAGATATTCCTAGAATCATATCAGCGAAACATTTAATTCAATTGGATTTCGTCTTAAAAATTGATAACTACTTCTTTATTCCTATATTTATCCAAAATATCTTATCAACATCTAATACAACTTTTATTGTGTTGCCATAGTTAAATAAGTTACTAACTTTTATTTTTCGTTCAGAAACTTTTAATTCCATGAATTAAATAAAGGAAATTAAGCGTCAAAAGTTTTCTCGAAGTTTTATCTCATAGCACTCAAATCTTATCTTACATTATTCATTGTCAATTAGACACAGGGGGGATGATAGTTCTCTACCTGTGTGCTCAGTTAGCTGTACTTTACACTTACAACTGTTTACTAGTATTAATATACTCTAGGTTAGGCCAGATTCAACTTATAATGAAAAATATGCAGTACGCTATCGGGATGGTTTATGGCCTACAAAATTAGTAAAGGATTAGCGTACATCATCACTCTATACACTATAACCTCGTTGTTTAGACAGAAGGAGAAGATCAAATATATGTGAAATTATTGGTTTAAACTTGTGACCTCGTAGCTCCATTAATTTGGATTTTATGCTCAAGATGAGAAGAGGAAATTGATCTGGTTACGTATTAGAAATTCAGTGTCCGAATTTAATGAATTTAAGCCGAGTCTTAAATCAGCCAAAAACCTATTTCAATTGTGCGTTGGCTTAAATCTTGAAACAACGAATACGATTTTAAGTGGAATCAACCATATTTGAGCCGTGGCTTAAATTCAAGCTGCGGCTCCAATTCTTTAAATTCGGCCTCAGAACGTTTTTCAATGAAAGGATATATAATTAGGAACAAATAAGAATCCTATCTTTCGTGGAATTTACTTTAGTGTAAATGTTTATTAATTATTAAAAACAATTTATTAAAAATGCCATTTTAAGTACCATCTACTGTAGCTACGATCAAAACTAAGATAAAATACTAATACATTGTAAAACGAGTATTAGGCGTAAAAGTTAAAAAATGTTTTAGTAAAAAAAACCTGACATAATGTTAAATAATACGTATGGTGAAAAAAACTACGTGTATAAAAGGGACTGTAAGCGTAATCTTATGCGACCCCCAATCTAAAGATGCCAATGCCCTTAAAAGCTTAGCCTAATCAAGTATTTTGTTTCCTCTGTTTATTTTCATTTGCGGTTTCTCTGTGAAAGTGCACCATCGCATTTCTAGCTTATAAGAAGCAATGGAGAAACTCACAGAAATAATAATTAAATCAGAATCTTCCACATTTTTGATCTGCAGATTAAGGTTGCAAGGTTACCAGTAAACTGGGTATTGCAATCTTTGCATGGAGGGTCACGCTTACATATTCCATTAAACAACACTGAAATTAATTCTGAACATGAAAACTCAGTAATAAGTGAAGTTGAAACGAAAGATTTAAATATTCCGTTTGCATTACATCTCTAAAGCTCCAGGTGCAAGGGAAGAGGGGAGATCTTCAATAATATTTCTCCTAAAAACAACTTATATTATATACTAGCTTGGGAACCCACCGCTGCCCAGGTTATTCTAAAAGTTACTCCCGCCATTTACCCGCACTTGAACGATTTTACCGGAAACTTAATTTTCGCTGTTTAAGTCGACTTACTGAAATTAAAATCCCAAAACCAAGCTAAAAACATTCCTGTGGGTCTTTCGAGTTTCCAAATCAAAATTTGAGGCAAATCGGTCCTGGGATTCCCAAGTTATGATGGGAAAAACAGAGATTATAATTTCTTATAAATATAGATATCCAGATACAAAAAAAACAAAAAAAGTAAAATAACAATTATGAGACTTAGTCGAAAAAAGAAAAGGTGGAATAAATAAAAGAAATTTCTTTGAAGCCGGATATCAGAATATTGAAATCATACCAAAGGTAAAATTTGATTTCATTTTTTCTTCGTATATTCATCAACTGTAAAGTTTCACGTTTTTTTTTCCTGTTTTTGCTATATAGGGGATTTCTGAAAACAAAATTAAAATTGACAATCTTAAATTCCGTCCAGCCAGCCATTGGGTCATGTGAGAACATTTGGACATTTATTGGATTCTCACAAACAAACAAAAAAAAGCCAAATTTTATTTTCATGAAGGCCTTGGTTTAAAAATAGATTGATTCTTACCATACAGTGAACATATCCCTTAGCTGGGTAATGCTTTGCTCTAGTTTCTCAATAGTCATTCTACTCCCTCCACTTTGATTCTTACCTTACAGTGAACATATCCCTTAGCTGGGTAATGCTTTGCTCTAGTTTCTCAATAGTCATTCTACTCCCTCCACCTTGAGTCTTACCTTACAGTAAACATATCCCTTAGCTGGGTAATGCTTTGCTCTAGTTTCTCAATAGTCATTCTACTCCCTCCACCAGAACTCAACAGTTTAGTTAATTCAGTCACATCCTTCATAAAATATAGTTTCTATTATCTTCTATTTTCTTCTGTTTTCTAGAAACTTATAATTGATATTCCAAGACGCAGTATAAGATAAATAAACCAATGCATTTTTGTCAGAAATCCCGTTTTTAGTTAATTTTTTAGATTAAAAAGAACTGAGTTTTTGCCACAACCTCTGATTTTCTAATTCCTATATCTTAGCCACCAAATGGTGTAAACCTTTGAGTATCAAAGTCTGGACAAAGACTCAATTCCCTTTGAAAGAGAAAATGTTTAATCTTTTTAAAAACGTTGTGTATTAGAAACTGAACGTCCTAAACACAATAACCCCCGATGGGAACCCAGATTTTAACAAAATCATGATAGTCATCTTCAAGAAAAGTATAAAGCGGATCATTCTTGACTTTGGGACATCGTTGAGCGAAATTGTCATCAAATATTATACTTCTAAACATTTTTTTTTTGGATTTAAATAGATTAAAACTCTCAAAAGTATATAAGACGCGAATATCAAAGGATTTATATTCCTAGACCTTAGACATAGATATGAATATTTTTACAATTTTAATTCTAAATATTTCTTTCATTTGATAATTTCGTATTTCTCTTTTATCTTACTTAATCTTCCACTTGAATTTATTTTTCTTGTTTTAAATTATTATCAACATTTATTCAATTTACTAAAATCTTCTTTTCTTTTTAAAATATTGATCTTGAATATATACTTTTGATAGTTGGTTAAATTTGTAAATTTTATAACTTTTTAATTTTATTTTCTGGAAGTCGTCGAGAAACAAGGATTTTTAGAATTAAAACGTAAAAGATTACTCGAAATAAAAAAGTATCCAGAGCTAAAAACTTTAGAATTGGATACTCTTGATCCCGGTCGATTAATCTCAATATCCAATGTTGACATCTTAAATTTCCCATGCCGGCGTAATCCGATCTTTTTCTTTCGACCAATGAGAGTTCACTCGTTAAATAGCGCGCAAAATTTCAAATTTCGCGGCTTCTCTGATTGGTTGTTTTGGGTACTCCAAACGCAACATACAAACTTAAGATTTAATTAATCTTCCATGTTTCCAAAACAAAGTTTATGTAATTTAGGAATAAAAATATGCACTTTGATCCTAAAAAAAAACTTGTATCCTGACCTGATCCAGTTTATCCCAGCAGACGCAGAGCGTCTCAGCCTTCGCCTGCACATCTGCCAATTGCTGACGCACATTGTTGTACCTTAGAAAATATTAATTAATATTTGGACATTTTAAAAATCAAAATGTGTAATTATGTGTTCATATGAACACTGAAATTTAGACAACTCTAAAATTTAAAATCAAATTTTTAGACAGCCTCGACTTAAAAGCGTCGAAAAGCCTTGACCTTTAGTTCTAGCTTAATGTAAGAGGATTAATTGGCTTGAATCTGGCTTGAGAGCGTGTACATCTTGGTTTGTAGTGTGATGAAGTCACAAGAATTTCCCTAAGGGGTTGACCATTTTGTACCGTCCCGTCTTTATGTGTACTGTACAGTGTACAATGTACAGCTTGCTATAGCTCACCCCTCACTAACCAGAGTTAGAGGCATTCGGTTTCTTCAATTTGAAATCATGCTGGTGTTGGTTTATATTTTGACAATCTTTAAAGTTACGGATTTGTTTGTTAAATACTTTTTATTCAAAACATATATGCCNAACCCTTAACTTGAGTTAGATAATTTTCCCCTTTTTAATTGAGCCTCACTACCTCTTTATAGTAAAGTTGTTCAGTAAATCTATTGTGTTTAAGTCTATACGTATGTATTATTAGTTGTAAGAATCGTGAAACTAGAGGTATATATATCTTTGAAACCAGATACTTTGTGATTTATATTCTTATTCTTTTCCTTGCACTTATTTTTAAAATAAATAACGTAAAGGAAACTACTATATTAAATAAGGAGTAAGAGATTTGGATCAATCAACTCCTGAAATGCTCAGGTTTCAGCCTATACCCATCTAATTTATAATCAATCTGTCTCACGTAGCATCCAATATAATCTACCTGTCTCACGTAGCATCTATATAATCTACCTGTCTCATGCAGCATATAATATATCATCTACCTGTCTCATATACCATCTAATGTATTATCTTTCTGTGTCAGTAGCATCTAATATATAATCTACCTGTCAAATTTAGCATCTAATATATCATCTCTTTGTCACATGAAGAATTGGATTTATAATCTACCTCTCTAATGTGGCATCTAATTAAATCTAACACATCTATCCAATACATCATTTGATTAAAAAAATAACTGCCTAGCTAATCATTATCTAAGACCTAGTTTACCTGTCTAATGCAGCATCTAATCTATCCCCCTCTGATTCTGAATATTCAGCTTCTAGATCTGGAATTTGGAAACCTGCTATTTCAGTCTGCAGAGCCTAGAATGAAAGTAACATCATGAAATAAAGTAAATCAATCTATCAAACGGTTAAAAACGGTCAGTACTGCCTTTAAGCGTCTCCATAAGCCTAATTTAAAGTAAAGAAGGCCATTATCCAGAATAACAGATCATAGATTAGGAAGTATGCTGATTTTATCGCGATAAAACTTCGCCTTGCTGGTCACTTAAGTTTAGAACATGGTACATTCGATGGTTGAAAAAAATAGAGAAACAATTGAGAGAAACCATAAACGTTCATTCAGTCACCTCTTAAGTTTCATATACTCATTATGTTATGAAGTTAAAAAAAATTGTTGACTGATAACAAAATTTATACGAAAACAAGATAAAAGCTTCTTCGTAAAATATTTACAGCTTTTTAAAGGGGCTGTAAGCGTAATTTCAAGGAACTCTCCATGCAAAGATGACAATGCCCGATTTACAATTACCATTGAAATCATAATCTGATGAAAAATGTGGAAGATACCGTCGTTTTTTCTGACTTAAAAGTGTTTATTTCTCTGAGTTTCTCCAATGCTTAGGTAGACTTGATTGACTGTAAGTCGGTTGATAAATGGATAGGTAGACTTGATTGACTGTAAGTCGGTTGATAAATAGATAAGTAGACTTGATTGATTGTAAGTCGGTTGATAAATAGATAGGTAGACTTGATTGACTGTAAGTCGGTTGATAAATTATAGGTAGACTTGATTAACTGTAGTCAGTTAGGCTCCTCAACTCGGACACGGTAGTTGCAAGTAATCAGTAAATAGATGTATTTCAAACCTGCAATAGAATGCATGGTATAATAAAATTAAATGACAATGTTAAAAAATTAAATGACAGTGTTTTTCAAACGTTTTAAAACGTTTCACAGTTTCGATGAGGTATATCTTAATTGCGCCGATATCAACTGTGCTGTAAATACGTAACATGATTGCCTTAATCATGTGATATAGATAATGACGTAGGAAATGTAATTACCTCTGTTAACTTTTACTTGTAACATATAAACCTCAAATACACTAGTTGATATAGAAACTTTACTTTGATTACAGTGTAGACTAATTGTGTCCTCGTTAAAACATACGGGCTGAGATTGTACCTCGGCATTTGGTATAGATCGATTATAAGCTTGTTTGATAGCTAACTGTGCCCTGGTTGAAACATAGGGCTGAGATTATACCTCGGTATTTGGTATAGATCGATTAAGAGCTTGTTTGAAAGCTAACTGTGTCATCGTTGAAACATACGGGCTGATATCATATCTCAGGATTTGGTATAGATAGATTTTGAGCTTGTTTGATGGCTACGCTTTTGTCCCTGTGTGACATTAAGAACTCGCTAAATAGCTTGTTTGATAGCTGTGCTTGTGTTCCTGAGTGGCATTTAAAGCTCGATTAATAGCAAGTGACCGTACTGACACTGATAACTAACGAGATCACGCCCCGTGGTAGTGACATTATTACGGGATTATAGCCGTGTGTTGACATTAATAGTCAAGAGAATCTGAGTGGTACCTGGATAGATACATTTCGATAAATTGTTATGAAGTAGGCATTTACTACATTCATACTTAATTAGTCAAAGCTTTCAAGGGTACCGTGGCATGCGGGCATCCACATCTTTGCATGGATTTTTCAGTGCCAAAAAGTTAGCAAATCCTCTTGAACCCTGTGTTCTTGCAAATTACAAACTTTGGTTTTCTATAAAGGAAAAATGAAAGGGTGTATAGGCTGAAATCTTAGCATTTCAGGAGTTGATCAAGACCTATAAGAGTTCTATCTGATGTTCCTGTCTCGAGAAATTGATATAAAACCAAGTGAAAATTATAACAAAACTTATATATGTAAAATACCAAGAATTTAAGATTTAAACAGATCGTATATTCAACAAATACGTAACCAATCTGAAAACTACGATATCCTGGAAGAGCCTGAAAAACTCAGGTTTGCTCCTATTATTATTTGAATAAATAATTTTTCACTTTTCAAAGATATAATTAATACGTGTGTATTACGTGACCGGAACTCCCACCAATGGCAGTACAGTATCATTGTCACGTGTCTCCGCCTGTATATTATAATCTTAGAATCTTATACCAAATCTTACACATATAAGTTTTGGTATTATTTTGACACAGTTCTATATCAATTTCTCGAGACAGGAAAATCAGATATAACTCTGATAGGACTCTATCAACTCCTAAAATGCTCAGGTTTCAATTTTCCTTTACAGTCCCTTTAATAAGTTTAAATTTAAACGAATTCTCTTTAGATTACAGAAAGGCAGACCACAATTTGGAAATGACATGGCAAGTGGGTATTTTAAGATTATTGTTTTACTTTCTCTAAAACAAAATTCAAAAACCATATTACCGTTTTTTCCCTTTACAAAAATTGATCGACGACGACAATAACATCATGACATATTCGTACACTATATAATTTAAACCAATTTAGAGCTATTTCAGGATTGTTTAAGAAATACCATACATTTTATATGAGATACAGCCACTTCTGCAATCTAGGTTAGCTAATAGCTATATCTGAACTTTTGCGGAACTTTCCAATACAATTGTAAAATTCAAAACATGAACGCTGTACAGCTCAGAATATTATTATAAATTATTATAAAAAAGTGAAAGAAATTGAAAAACAAGATTTTAAAGGTAAAGAAAAAACACAACTTAAAATAATTAGATATATAAGAGAGATAATGATGATATTGAGAGAAGATACTGGGAAATTTGTTTATCAAAACTGTGAGATGATTGCCGCAAGGATTAGTGGAGGATTCAAGATTATGTTATTAATTATCCAGAATTACTGATTATAGATGAGGGAGTATGCCGAATTTATCGCGATAAAAATTCGCCTGGCTGGTCACTTCTGTTTAGCACATGGTACATTCGATGGTTGAGAAAAATAAAGAAACAATTGAAAGAAACCATAAACGTTTATTCAGTCACCTATTAAGTTTCAAATATGTTATGAAGTTGACTGATGCATAAAATTTATACGAAAACTAGATAAAAGCTTCGTAAATATTTACAGCTTTTTCAAGGGGCTGTAAGCGTAATTTCAAGTAACTCTACATGCAAAGATGACAAGTCACTTTCGCACAGAAACCGCAAATACAAAAAAACAGTTCAAAGGAACAAAAACATTGATACTAATTCATGTAGCAAATATCAGGTAACATAATATTTTGTAAACCTGCAGTACGTTTGGAAAACTATAGGAGTGCGGAGTCGGTTGATAAAAAGATAGGTAGACTTAATTGACTGTAAGTCTGTTGATACATGAATAGGTAGACTTGATTAATTGACTATAAGTCGTTTGATAAAAAGATAGGTAGACTTGATTGACTGTAAGTCCACTGTGATTTAACGGTCTTAACCTTTTAAGCAAAAATCTATGAGAATTTTGCCATTTACTTCTTTATTACCAAAGCTAACAACACGTGCTTTATAGTGCTAAAATGCACATGAAAAGGGCTACATAAAAGCATTGCTGAAAACTTTAGAATGGTGGATATCAAGATTAATGCTTAAACTCCTGGTTTTACTAAACCCAAGATTATTTTCAAACGCATTCAATATCCAAGAAAGAAGTTAAAAATTTAACCAATCAGCGTGTCATGTTAAGATGTACTCTTTAAGTTTTGAAAAACCGATTTTGATTTTTGGTGTTGATGGTGTCATATCAATTGAACTAAACATCGATTGAATGAACGTAAGTTTTGGATTAATATTTATTAAGACTAACGTTCGAAATTACAATGGTCCTGCAATATGGTTTTTAAATGATTTCATATTAACATGTTTAAATTTAGATTTGTTTAAATGCTATAAAAGCCCGCTTTTGAACGGCTGACTTCAATTCAATCGGATATTAGTCCAATCGATATAGCATTTTATCTGTAATTGTTATCAAACGTAATTTTTATACAGTAGAAATATCCAAAAAGAGGATTAAGAAGAAAATCAAAAGTGTGTACATTGGATAATCAGATTAAGCTCTTTAACTTTAACTTGTAACATATAAACCTGAAATACACTAGTTAAATTAGAAACTCCACTTTGATTACAGTGTAGAGTAATTGTGTCCTCGTTAAAACATACGACCTGAGATTGTACCTCAGCATTTGGTACAGATCAATTATGAGCTTGTTTGATAGCTAACTGTGTCCTAGTTGAAACATAGGGCTGAGATTGTACCTCAGGATTTAGTATAGATCGATTTTGAGCTTGTTTGATGGCTACGCTTGTGTCCCTGTGTGACATTAAGAACTTGCTAAATAGCTTGTTTGATAGCTGTGCTTGTGTCCCTGTGTGGAATTTAGAGCTCGATCAATTGCAAGTGACCGTACTGACACCAATAACTAACAATATCAAGCCCCGTGGTAGTGGCATTATAGTTCACGGGATCATAGCCGTGTGTTGACATTAATAGTCAAGAGAATCTGAGTGGTACCGGATAGATACATTTCGATATATTGTTATGGAGTAGGCATTTACTACATTCATACTTAATCAGTCAAAGCTTTCAAGGGTACCGTGGCATGCGGGCATCCACATCTTTGCATGGATTTTGCAGTGCCAAAAAGTTAGCAAATCCACTTGAACTCTGTGTACCTTGCAAATTACAAACTTTGGTTTTCTATAACGGGACTGTAAAGGAAAAATTAAAGAAGGTATATGCCGAAACCTGAGCATTTCAGGAGTTGATCAAGATCTGATGTTCCTGTATCGAGAAATTGATATAAAACTATGTCAAAAATATACCAAAACTTATATATGTAAAATTGGGTATAAAAATTTAAGATTTAAACAGATCGTATATTCAACAAATACGTAACCAATCTTAAAACGACGATATCCCGGAGGAGCCTGAAAACTCAGGTTTGCTCCTATTATTATTTGAATAAATAATTTTTCACTTTTAAAAGATATAACTAATACGTTTGTATCACGTGACCAGAACTCCCACTAATGGCAGTGCAGTATCATTGTCACGTGTCTCCGCCTGTATATTATAATCTTAGAATCAATTATACCAAATCTTACACATATAAGTTTTGGTATTATTTTGACACAGTTTTATATCAATTTCTCGAGACAGGAAAATCAGATATAACTCTGATAGGACTCTATCAACTCCTAAAATGCTCAGGTTTCAGCCTATACCCCCTTTCAATTTTCCTTTACAGTCCCTTTAATAAGTTTAAATTTAAACGAATTCTCTTTAGATATACAGAAAGGCAGACCACATTTTGGAAATGACATGGCAAGTGGGTATTTTAAGATTATTGTTTTACTTTCTCTAAAACAAAATTCAAAAACCATATTACCGTTTTTTCCCTTTACAAAAATTGATCGACGACGACAATAACATCATGACATATTCGTACACTATATAATTTAAACCAATTTAGAGCTATTTCAGGATTGTTTAAGAAATACCATACATTTTATATGAGATACAGCCACTTCTGCAATCTAGGTTAGCTAATAGCTATATCTGAACTTTTGCGGAACTTTCCAATACAATTGTAAAATTCAAAACATGAACGCTGTACAGCTCAGAATATTATTATAAATTATTATAAAAAAGTGAAAGAAATTGAAAAACAAGATTTTAAAGGTAAAGAAAAAACACAACTTAAAATAATTAGATATATAAGAGAGATAATGATGATATTGAGAGAAGATACTGGGAAATTTGTTTATCAAAACTGTGAGATGATTGCCGCAAGGATTAGTGGAGGATTCAAGATTATGTTATTCAACATGAAGAGTTTGGTGAAGGGTCTGTAAGCGAAATTTCAAGTAACCCTCCATGCAAAGGTGACAAAGCCCGATTCACAACGGTAGCCTTGAAACCTTAAAGGGAGTGTTCGCGAAAAACGAAAGGGGGTATAGGCTTACGACTTTTTTCCGCTAGGTGTCTCTGCCATGTGTAATCATTTAAAGCATCAAGAGCAGAGACATCTGGCGGCCAACTATTTCGGCGTTTTAAGTGCATTATATACAAAACGATTAAAAAATATTACAAAATATTAACTTTATACGAATGCGTCAAAAAATGGTTGTAATATCTGAATAATTTGTTTGAAATTAAATTGATTTTTTACGATCCCAGGCGTATATTGCAACTTTCGGAATTTGTATGGACGCTACGTTCTTCAGTATAAGTCTTTTTTAACAATTTTTATTAGCGCTTAAAAGCCACTATTTTTCGCCGTAATTAAGCCCGTACCCACTTCCTCCCTTTAATAATATCCAAAATGTGGAAGATAACGTAGTGTTTTTGTATATTTCTCTGAATTTATAAATTATTTTTTTAAGCAAGAAATGTACAACTTAAACTTCCACAGAGAAACTGCAAATGAAAATTAAAGAAACAAAAAAATTGATAATTATTTCATACTTGATCAGAATAAGCTTTAAAGGGTACTTTTGTAAATCGGACATTGCCATATTTGCATGGAGAGAAACATTACACTTACAGTCCCTTTAAATGATTAACTGGGGTTAATTACTAACTGCGTATAGTAGATGTTTGTCAACAGAGAAAAAGTATAGCAACATAATTTAGTTTAGTTTAGGGAAAATGTATTCATTTAAAGACAAGAAAGAAATTTGTAAAAAATAAAAAATGGGTTAATTGATTGATTGTGTCAACTGTTTTTGAAGTATTTAAAATCTAGGTATGAAAGCTTTCCAAAATAAACAATATGAACATCAAAATACATAAAACTGTGGTGATAACGAAAAACAGGAGGAGGGGGGGGGGGGGGAGCAATGTAATAAAGTTATGATTTATCATTTTACCTTTGCATTCGCCAGAAGCTGACAAGCTTGAACTCTAGTTGACGGTTTCTCAACAAATCTATAAAATAAAATGTGTATTTTCACAGAGGGGTAACCTCCCAAATGTGCAATTTCCCTGCTTGTAACTTCCCCATTCTGATCTAGCCACAGGCTCGGCCCCCTAGCCCATCCTAGCCGCAGCGCTCGGTCCCCATTGCAGCCTGCCTTTGGGAAGTTGCACAAATGAAAAGTTGCCACTTGGGAAGTTGTCCTAGGGAAAAGACCTTTGATAAAAATACCGATCACCATTTTATTAAAATATTATCACAAGGTATTCATGAAGTCAGGGCAGTAGCGACATTATATCATCTGTTTTAATTCTGGCATAAACGAGAGAGATTGAAGTTTGCAGCAGCATATCGGGTCTTCCCTGCGCGAGAGCGGGCGACCGAGGAGAAAATGTAATATCACCCCTACTAGAGAGTTTTTTTTCTGCTTTCATGCACTCTTTGCACTTACTTTCTGAAAGAAGCTAATTTTCTATTTATTTTAACAAAGTTAAAAAGTTAACAAACCTAACTTTGCGAAGAGCTGCAACTTCAGGTTTTTATTAAACCCAAGGTTTCTAACCGAGACCGAATGAAAAACATAACTAAATGTGTGTGCAATATCAATGTAGGACTCAAGTGCATTTAAAAAACAATTTAGTACAGTTTCTCTTTTTATTAAGAACTGTCTTTCTCCAGGTAAAAAGTTTTTGACCATAATCCTTATTTATATTAATATTTAAGGAAGATTATTTGAAAACCCTAATCCACTAAATTTTCCTTCGAATGTCCTAATTCATTTGACGTACCGTACCGTTTTGTCATGCATAGTCTGTAGATGTACTGTACAACTTGCCCTGCTAACTTAACAGTCGGTCCGGCACTAATGAACCGGACTTTACCGTGAATCCGCTGCAACTTGCAAACATGTATTTAACTAGTATCCTATTTTATCCCCAACGGGGCTACACCTACAGATGTACTTATTAACCCCTTTTATCGGATTAAGTGCATTCATTAAAAAAAATCAGAAAAACTGTTTGTATTTTGTATACATCGGTGATAGGTACTTTCCTAAAGGCATTTTCTTAAGGGCGACTTCCCAAGTGACACTTTCCCAAATAGCAACTTTCCAAATATGCAATTTCCCAAGCGGCAACTTCCCAAAGGTTAGTTTAGACCTACTGAGACGCTGCAGGCTGCAATGGGGCCGAGCATTGCGTCTAGGAAGTGCTAAGGGGCCGAGCGCTGCGGCTATAACAGGCTAGATGGGCCAAGCACTGCATAAGGACAGACTTGGGGAAGTTGCCACTTGCGAAAATACCCTTGGGAAGTTGCCGCTTTGGAAAAGGCCTGTGGGAAAGTGACTTACATAGTTTTCAATGGAATATGTATAATTTTACATTGTAATGGGTATGAACTAACCTTGAAATTCTATGCTCTGCATTTTCCAGCATATTCTCCATCTCTCTGATTTGTTCCATCCTGTATATCTGGGGTAGGATCCGGAATATAGGCTCTAGCAGGAGGGTAGGAATCTTGACCTCTAGTCTCCTCTACGTAGTTTAAACCTTAACTCTATAAAGGTGTTAAGAGTACAGGGGTTGGGAGAGGAATAGGAGCTGAACCAAACTTTCTATATCCCTCTTTCCACCCTCTTCATAGGTTCCACCCTAAGAGTGGGGAATTCCTTCACATATTCCCCATAGGCAGAATTTTCTAATCTTTATAAATATATATATATATCTAAACATTTGAAGTTGTAATCTCTGTTTGTATGTCTGTCATGTTTGTTCGTTTTTCCGATCATAACTCAGGAACCCCTTGACAGACTTACTTCAAATTTTTATTGGGGAACTTGGGAGAACCAAGGCAATGTTCTTAGTCTGGTTTTGAGTTTCTAAAATGAGGGGGTTAACTTTTATAGCGAAAATTTAGTTTCCTGGTAAAATCGACAAAGAGCAGGTAAACGGCTGGAGTAACTAAGAGTACCCTGGGCAACGCTAGGTTCACAAGCTAGTATAAATATGTAGCAAATGCCTAATTCCAGTAAGCTCTCTTAATATGTATCGTACAGATACAACTTGTTCTGACTCTCAGCTATAATACTCAGTCTGTATCAATCCAGACATGACGCTCTTATATTCCTCAATAAGTATCGTACAGATACAACTCAATCTTGAACTCAAGGTTCCTCAATAATATTTCGTCGCTTTAAGTATTCCTCAATATGTATCGTACAGATACAACTCAATCTCGAACTCAAAGTATCTTTATTCTGTATCTATCTTTCAAGATAGAACTCAATCTCGAACTCAAGGTTCCTTTAATCTGTATCTATCTTTCAAGATACAACTTAATCTTGAACTCAAGGTTCCTTTATTCTGTATCTATCTTTCAAGATACAACTCAATCTTGAACTCAAGGTTCCTTTAATCTGTATCTATCTTTCAAGATACAACTCAATCTTGAACTCAAGGTTCCTTTATTCTGTATCTATCTTTCAAGATACAACTCAATCTTGAACTCAAGGTTCCTTTATTCTGTATCTATCTTTCAAGATACAACTACAACTCGAGCTGACACTCTGCACCCTACTTGAGACAAAGAATATTGTTCAACTGACTTATATTTCATTGGTATTAAACTAATTAACGTAATTAAAGTAAATTGTAATACATGGTAATGAAATCATAAATGGACCGATAGGACTTCTCAGAAATCAACAAACGTAATAGGGTATGGATAATCTTAACATGCAGTGCATAGATACAAATATAACGAACATAATAGGGTACGGATAATCTTAACATGCAGTGTATAGATACAATATAACGAACATAATAGGGTATGGATAATCTTAACATGCAGTGTATAGATACGAATATAACGAGCATAATAGGGTACGGATAATCTTAACATGCAGTGTATAGATACAAATATAACGAACATAATAGGGTACGGATAATCTTAACATGCAGTGTATAGATACAATATAACGAACATAATAGGGTATGCATAATCTTAACATGCAGTGTACAGATACAATATAACGAACATAATAGGGTACGGATAATCTTAACTTGCAGTGTATAGATACAATATAACGAACATAATAGGGTATGGATAATCTTAACATACAATGTATTGATACAAATATAACGAACATAATAGGTAATGGATTATCTTAACACGCAGTGTATAGATACAAATAAAACAAGCGTAGTTAGGCTACAATGTGCAATGTAATATATCTAGGTGTGTTCAGGTTTATAAATATGGGGTTTACTAAGATATTTATTACAAATATATATCCTACCTACATCCTGATGCATAACTTGAGAAAAGAAATATATAGATTCAGGAAAATAGGATAAATAACATGGATCTTCGATATCTAATATAGGAGCAGGATGCAATTATAGTTAATTACTTGTATCTAATTTTAAACATGAAAACATTAATGTATCTGGTTTCAAGAGGCTATTGACGTAAAAGCAAGTAACCCCTTATTTCATGAGTTGTATGCACGGTTAACAGCAGCAGTACCCTTAAACCCTTAAAGGGAGTGTCTGGCTAGACATGGTAGTTGAGCTGAGAATGCAGTATTATAAAGCATTTTTTTAGAATTCATTTGCATTTTTGTTCAGCTAAAAAAAATTAAAACCCGATTTTCAAAATTATTCCTTCAAAAAATTGATTGAATTTTCGGTCTGACGGAGCAAATCTGCACACCGTAAAAACGTCTGATATGTCTCAAATGAATCCTACCAAATTTCTCTACAATACTAACGTGGATTTAACGGTTCTGTCAATATTCCAGAAAGCTGTGACTTTCTATCACAATTTGACCCATTAAACATAATTTGTTAGCCTTTTTTAAAATACTTTTTTGTTGGCATATGCATTTTGAATGAAAATGTATAAAATAAACAAATCCGTAAAGTAAATGATTGTTGAATAAAAGACCAAGACACGTTTGATTTCAAATAGAAGAAACCGAATGCTGCTCACTCTGGTTAGTCCGGTGTGTACTGCATTCTCAGCTAGACTACCATGTCTAGCCGGTCACTCCCTTTAATCCTATCAAAAATTTGGAAGATATCTTCATATTTCTATCTGAAAAAGTTACGTTAACAGTCTGCATAAATAAGTGTTCCAGAATTCCAACATGTAGAGTAAATGTTACAAATACAAATGCAAAATGTAGAATATGCAAATATTTTAACATCTCTTGGTATTATGACGATGATGTATTTTGACATGTTTCGAATGAATGGTAAATATGGAAGAAAGTAAAATGTATTCAAGAACAAAAATTTGTTTTTAGAATATTTTAACACTTTCTAATGTTTAGTCGTTAACTCGATCAAAATGAGAACAGAAAAAAATATGTTTCTTAGTGATCGCAAAAAAAAGAAAAATTAGATAAATATAATTTTGAAAAGATCGCTTCTGAGAATTCTGTTACCAGGGGCTTATGTTTCTCCATTTTATAAGTTTCTATCTACTTAATCATTTAACCGGCTTCCTGGGATAATCCCTGACCTGTATAAGTTTCTATCTACTTAATCACTTAACCGATTTCCTGGGATAATCCCTGACCTGTATAAGTTTCTATCTACTTAATCACTTAACCGATTTCCTGGGATAATCCCTGACCTGTATAAGTTTCTATCTACTTAATCACTGAACTGGCTTCCTGGGATAATCCCTGACCTGTATAAGTTGCTATATACTTAACTAACTTAACCGGTTTCCTGGGATAATCCCTGACCTGTATAAGTTTTTATCTACATAATCACTTAACTGGCTTCCTGGGATAATCCCTGACCTGTATAAGTTTCTATCTACTTAATCACTTAACCGGTTTCCTGGGATAATCCCTGACCTGTAAAAGTTTCTATCTACTTAATCACTTAACCGGCTTCCTGGGATAATCCCTGACCTGTAGGAATCCTGTAGGCCGAGAAAACTAGGAAGTGCAAGTTGACCGGCTCTCTGTGTAGCCGGCTAGACAGGTAAACATTTGACCCACATTATACTCGAACATTTACCTAGCTAAATATATTTCTATCTAAACATAGACGAATAGAGCACTGCACACTGAAAAGTGGAAAGAACTGAAAATTGTTAACATTGTTTAGAAATTGCAATTTTGATTCGTGCATTGCTTTTTTTTTATTTTAGGCTTCTTTTTGAATTAAAGATTAAACACAGCTGGTGAACAAAAAATAGTCATCGCATCTGTGTCTGTATATACTTTGCATGTCTATTTCGGATGTTTATAACCGACAACGTAAAAACTGCTGAACCGATCAGGCTCAATTTTTTTTGGGACCTCACTTGATCCCAGAAAAGGTTTATCGATGATCAAAATTTCGAATATTAGCCTCCAACAAACTTCGAATTTTATTAAAATTAAAAATATGTTTTTTTTAGAAAATCCACGAATTTTTTGTTTATTTTTGTTTTACAATGTATACAATGTGAAAATGTTTACGATTTAAAAAGGAGATGGGTGTAAAGCGCCCTGAAAGCCTATAGGCTATATATATTCTTTGCTTGTCTGTTTGTTAGTTTGTTTGATTGTTTCCAATAAACGTCAAACGGCTAAATCCAGCAGACACTATTTTTTTGGGGACCTCACATGATCCAAGGGAAGGTTAATGGATGGTTAGAATTGAAAAAACTGCTCCTTAAGAAAATGTTTAGGCATTAAATTCTGCTTTCATTTAAAATACATGAACTTTGATTCGTGTAGTTTGTACCAAATAAACGTTCAACTTGTTATTTTTTATTCAGAGTATTTTTCTCGAAAAAGTCCAGATTTGTTTACTCATCTTCGGATTAAGATCTTGATTAACACTCACTAATAGTTAATATCTATTCATAAACTTGTTTTTTAAACATGTTTTCTTAGATGAGACTACTTTATTACCCTGGCCCTGGAGTTCTTTATTACCCTGGCACTGGAGTTCTTTATTACCCTGGAACTGGAGTTCTTTATTACCCTGGCACTGGAGTTCTTTATTACCCTGGCACGGGAGTTCTTTATTACCCTGGCACTTTTACTTTTACTTCAACTTTTTCGATGTGTGCACTTCAAGGTTTTAAATTTTACTTAAAGGGAGTGCCTGGCTGGGTATGATATTTGAACTGAGAGTGCTTTGTTTAAAAATAAAATATTAGGATTCAATTAATACATATAAAACGTACTTCTTACGTTCTATATTTGCTACATAACACCGCAAACTCGCTTTTCATAAATCGCGAGGTTTTCTCACAAAATTCAACTTTTTAATATTATTTAATAACCAGGATAAAAGTATTAACAGTATTAACAGGCTGAGAAAATAAAAATTTATTCTCTTTTCATCAAAAATATGTAATTTTATTTAGTCATCTTTTCTGTAATTTGATTCTTTTTAAAAATTTTCTCACGGATATCCTTGACTTTCATTGCAGAGACGACATTGAAAAAAGAACTTTGCGAAGAATTTATCAAAAGTAAAATTTAAAAATAATAAACACATAATCAATTTTGCTAATAATTTCATTAAAATTTTGACCGAAAAACAGAAAATTAGTTTTTGGAAGAATTTTAGTTGCATTTTCGTCCGGGTTACTAAATGATTTTGAAAAAATCGAATTTTGTAAGAAAACCTCTAGAATTTTTCATCATTGTAATTTTTGAATAACTAGTTTATCTTTTATGTGGAAATGAATGGTATCAAATGAGGCCTGAGTTTTTATTTAATATTTTATTCTCATA